AATCTTGAAATACTGAATATTTCAATATATTTTAAATCTTTCGGTGGCTGAATGAAGATGATAAAACTCTAAGCTGTTTTGGCGCCAGACATGTTTGACCTTTTCACCTTTTCAGAGCAGAATAGCCGGCCTTCTAGAGAGCTCACTTCCTTTGACTGGCACTCTTTATACCAGGAAATTTTACACTTTAAGCCAATTAGTGGAGTGCTGTGTTGTAAGATGTTATTTTGCATTAGAAATTGACAAATTGCATTTTTTTTTAGCATCATTAAATGTCTTTTAGGGGAAATTGGGTGGTTATTTAATCTGCCTTTGTTAAGATTTTCGTTTTATCTACAAGAAAACTAACAGAAGACAATGTCAGTAGGAATATGTGTCTTATGGAAATAAATGTAAATGATGATATAGTAGACTTGTGTTGACAGATTTGTCATATTCTTGCATTTTAAAAGCTGTAGCAAGTCGATATTGGATCCTTTGAAATTCAAAGCATGCAGCCTTCTGTTTCATGCTGGAATTATGCAATGTGCTGCCTTTAAAAAACAATCACACACACACACACACACCTACACACACACAAACACAAAATGCTACTGACCTATATTCTTAAAACAACAACCCTAAACATTCTCCAGGTTTAGTTAATCCAAAAAAAAGGTTAAAAACAACATATATATGATGTTTTATGATGTATTTTTTTAAACTTTCCTAGGGTAAACTACACTTCTCCCCGAGTAGCTCCCCGGACCAGGCTCCAAAAACGCAGTGGGTCACTCGCTCCATCACGTTGTGAAACATTGTAAAGGATCTGCCTTTTCTTGTGCGCAGCATTTAAATCCGATCCCCTTGATGCTTGGGGAGAGGAAAGTGAATTAGAGATTGAGGTGGCAGCCTGATTCACTCCCCCTCACCTCCCTCTCTCCCTCCCTCCTCCTCCAACCGAGACCAAAGTCGCGTTGCAAAAAAAAAAAGAAAAGAAAAAGAAAAAGAAAAGAAAAAAGGAGGAGACACAGAAAGAAGATATTTGAAAAGCTGCCACGAGTTCCCTGTCACACCGCCTCCTGCGTGGATTGAGCCGTGCTCTTTGTTATCCACATGCATGAATACTGAGTGGATGTAAAGAGAAAAGGGTCCAGGAGAAGAGAGAGGAGAAAAAAAGAAAACATTGGGACACGTCTGCATCTGGTAGAACCCAAACTAAAAATAACTTGACCTACAAATTCTCTCCTCGTTGTAGATTACGGTCTTTGGTGCAAGTTGGCTTCGGTTTCACGGTGATGTTCAAACCACACAAAGTGTCAATATCCAAGCTCCATGTGACCCCACTGCATCCTGATATTTAATAATTGTTAGAAGCTGTATTGTAACCATATAATTTCCTATTGAAACATGAGTGGCAACTTAAATTTAGCATTTTTTTTTTTACTTTAATTTGGAATTAAACGAGTTCAATATTGAAATATCAGACGGTTTGTTTGCCTTCTTCTATACATCACTGTTCTTCGTGGTTTCTGTAACACACTGGATTTTACGTTGTTGTTTGGCAATTTTGATATTCCAATTAAAACTTCTGCTTGTGCTCTTATGAAACTACAGTCTTTACGCGCACTATATAATTAAGTCACACACATAAACACGGATCCTTTGCCGGATACAACCACCTTTCACGTCTCTGTCTGCCACTCCACTCAGTGAAGGGGGACAGGTGTCCAACAATCCAGCAGCTATCCATCCCCCCACCTCCCCCACAGAAAAAGAAAAATACGCACACACTCACTCGTGCCATTGGAGATCTGGAGATCACAGGACGCAAGCGCCAAGGGAAACAATCTAGAATAATTTAAGATTGTACCAATTCGAATGTTTTTGCGTATAAATTAAAAGCTTCTACAATAAAAGCGCCACAGACACATAAAATAGGCATTTTGGACACTTCTGGTGCGTAAAGCGCAACAGGCCCGAGCGTAAAGAGGTCAGAGCCGAGTTTGCGCAAAGTTAGGATTCAGTGCAAGTCATTTATTTCATTATGGTGTTACATTAACCGATCTACAGCTGAAATCTTTCAATCAATGAGCCTTTTTTTCTGTCTTGATTCCAGTTAAATTTCATTTGTGTCACACAGAACGAACAGTGGAACTCTGAATTTGTCTGTTGCTTCAGAGATAAGCAGATTTTGAGAGTCCGTATTAATGAGACAGAATTAGACTGTTTGCACTTTGTCAATAATCCCTTTTTTTGACAGTTTTGGTCTGCAGCTCCTAAACATACACAGACCTGGATTCAGGCCCCATTCGTCACGCTATAGGTTTTTTAAAAAAAGAAAAAAAAAAAGAAGTGTTTTTTGGGGAGGGGGGTAAAGGGGGTCAGGGAGCTTTAACTCGGTGACAAAGCCTCATTTGCAGGTCAATGCGATGGCACACTCGCCTCTCCTCTCCATCCAGCTCGCCTTTGTTCCCTGTCGCCTGCGCCGATGCCAGATGGTCATGGAAAATGCTAATTCCTCTTGGCTGATTTTCCTTCTTTTCTATATTTAATTGCAGCCTTTGCAGACTGTCCCCGTTAATTGTGTGTTTTGAGTGGAAAATGTGTTCTCTGAAATTATATTTTTGGTCGCTACATTTAGACGGAGCCCATAAGCTGCTGTTTATGTCAAAGTAGCTGCAACTGAATTATTCAGACGCACAAAGGAGCAAGATTTTGGAGGAAATGGTGACGCATTTTATTTGAGGTTTTACTGGCAATCAGTGATTCATTACTAACATGAACAATACATTCATCTGTATGCCAACACCTTACTTTTCTACTTCCTTTCTAAAACTTTGCTTATCTTGATTACACTGATTTAAAAAGAAGGAAAAAGAAAAGCTTATATCTTAGATTTACAAATTATTCGTTGTTTTTTGGGCAATCTGAGTACATTTTAATGCTCAGTTTCAAGTGTGCATTCTTGTTTCATTTAAGGAGAGAATAATTATGATTGTTAGTGTTATTTTAGCAAAGCTTGTGACAAAAATAAGAATTTGACTATAACAAAACAACAAATGCCTATTTATAAAAAGGTATTTAAGAAAAAAACATAAAAGAGTATTAAGATTAACAATCAATTTTTTTCCATTACAATCAATGACTAAAATGTGAGCCCCATTTTTATTATGCCACTGAAAGCATTACATGTGTGAAGATAATTATCATAAATATAGCAACACATGGAGATGTAGAAACCCTGAAACTTTAAACTGACTGGCTAAAGCAAATAGATACTATTTTGCTGATGACTGAGACAAATGAAATTTGTGCATGTGAGTTAAAGGTCAGACGGGACACTGGAGGGCCCGGGAGGCTGAATCTCTCCATCAGCAGCTGGTTGTATAATGATATTCTGCTGTAGCAGGCATGTTAATGAGGTCTATATGTTAGCTTTCAACGCTTTCCTTTATGTCCATCATAGATACAACAGGGCTGAATTGAGTTATAATTGTCATACATCCCATGGAGCTTATTAAAACTGAAAGACTCCATCCACTCATACAGTCTTTAGGCCTTGGCACAACAGAGGCTCATACAAAGTGATAACATTGCTCCTATTTGTTGCCTTGAAAGTCTTATGAAAAAGTAAAATACAACTAGCCTACAATTTCATTTATTCTATTTAAAGAGAAGCTTATTAGACTGTGAATTGTTTTTCCAGGCCTTAACCTATGACCTCTCCCAGAATGGCTCAAATTCAATACCTTTTGGAGAAAACGAATGAGATTTAAAGTTCTATTTACTGGGACAAATTTTATATAGTTACACAGCTGTAGAGACAAATAAAGGAAGATGACCCCTTTAGCACTAAGAGGGACTGGAGGCCCCTGAATGTGTCCAGTCTCCAACATAGAGGGGACTTCATTAAAGTAACACATAAACAGCTGTTGTCTTTAACATGTAAACTATTGAGAATTTAAAAGTGCACTGAATGGCCTCGCAGCTCCCCGTGGGCATATGGGCGTTAATTAGCTGGATATAGCCATAGATTAATTATAATATTTTTTTCGCCCATTCGTATCAATAGAGCAGCCAGACAAAGTGTCTTTTGTTCTCTGATGCAGGACATTCTGTGGCTGACTGAATAGGTCTTGGCTATGTCTACATGGATTTGCCATATGGCAACAAAAAGGAAAGAATGGAGCCGGAGAGCGCTTTGTGTTGGAAATCAGAACAAGCTCCGTCAGAGCTTATGGCTGCATGGAACTGACAAAGTCACTCTGGCCATCAAAAGTCTCCATTTTTATCAAAACATTAAAGTCAGACAGTCAGAGCTGTGCAGCCAGAACGGGAAAACTTATGGAAAATTATGAAATGCGTCTTTGTTTAGTGCGCACTGACAGGCAGCAGGCCCGGAGCGCATTCAGACGCTGCTGCTGCTGCTGCTGCTGCTGCATTTGGCTTCTTTCAATTAAGGGTAAACTTGCAAGTATGACCTGTTGAATGGTTTGTTTCAATAGACGAGGACAATTACAAAGACTAGTAGTTTTCTTTTTCCAGCTCTGGCAGGTGGCCTCCACGCCCGGTGTATCTACGACGGGGTAAACAGTGTGTGTGAGTGGGTCTTTAGAGGGCTTGTTGAGTGCGGGTGGATGTGGGGGTGTCTTCGTGGCGGACAAAGCGGGGATCCAAAGGCAGCTGCTGCTTCTTTAGAGGGGCGAAAGGGCCTTTAAATCCGAGCCTATATCCCGCAGCTGCCATGCTGCCCGAGGCTGCGCGTCTGAATGCGTTTTTCCTTGGATGGGCCTGAGCGCACAGAGGCAGGTACAGGTGGAGAGCAAAGGGAAGTAATGTACCTGCTTCCACTAAACGTCTGATAGCACTGATTCTGTTATTGTTTCACTTCAATAAAACGCTGTCAAATGATGAAGGCCTACAGCTGCTGTTCTGTTTTCCTCAACCTCAGTTTCCACTTTAATTCACTCATAAGAAAAATAAGCTAAAGTGGACAAAGCACACAGACAAATCTGCAGTTGAAGTGAAAGATATTTTTTATTCCCATCTTTTGCAAGACATATTTAGGGCACTTGTATGAAAACACACACACAAAAAAAATAATAACGGCTCAGAGACACAAAGAAATCTATTTTTTTTCAAGTGTGGACTGCTAAACGGGGAAGCTACATGATTGCAAAACATCACAAATAACAAGAAAAATGTAAATAATAAAATAAAATAAAAATATGCCCTTTGGCTAAATCAACAAGGCATTTAACAAATATAAAGAAACATAAATAAATTATAAGTTAGAATAGACTTAAAAATATACATTTACAGAAGAAAAAAAAACAAATAAAAACAGAACAGAAATAAACATTTATAAGCTATTGTCTCTATAAAGCTGTACACTTTTGGCCAGTGTAGACAATTCTTTTAAAGAAATTTAGGATTGCACAGATGTTAAAACATTTAACACTGTCGAGTGGCTGTATGCAAAAGCAACAATGAATGCTACATTTGTACTGGATAGAAGTCATTCGGCGAATATTCTCCTCCCTTCCCTCCCCAAACCGTTCAGTCCTGAGAGTCTGCTCCGCTGTTCTGCTCCGCTGCGCTCCGCCGGGGCGCACCGAGCCGCAGCCGACCGGTCGTTCGGACTTCTTTGTCCCCCCACACACCGTCCTCCCGTTTCTGTCTCCTTTAAGTGGCGGGGACGAAGAGTTTCCCCCCTCCAAAACAAAAATGCAAAAAATAGTGCAAAAACCACCTGAGGAAGGAAAAAAAAAATACACGTAAGTTTTCTGGTCATTCCGAGGAAAGACTGCGAGTCAGCTTTTCGAGGAAACACTGGATGTAACCTCAGCAGCAGGCGTCACCCTTTACCCGAGCCTTTTCCCGCCACATCGTGACGCACATCCCCCTCCCCCACCCCTTGGTGTTACTACAGCTACTACTATCACTACTACTGCGATTTCACCACCACAAACTCTCCCCCAACCCCCACCCCTCTCCCCCGATAAGGGCTGTCTGCGCTTTTCTGGCTCACGTAATCCTGCGCAATTAAAGCGTAAAAACAAACCAGAAATAGCTGCTAATAAGGCAGTAAATGGTTTTAACGGGACCTCTGCTGTTTAATCATTTTAAATAAATCTGCGTTGTCACGTTAGACGTGAAGAGCAAATTTAGAAAAAAAAGAAAAAAAAGAAGAGACAAATCTTCCATACCTTCAACGGATCCTCTTTCGGGGAGTTTGCTCCACCGGGATTGGAGACTTGGAAAGGTGGCAAGCGCTCATTTCATTCGATTTTCTATCAGCAGCCTTCTTTCGTTTCACGTAGAAGTCTGTAAGGAAAGAAGGAATACGTTTAGGCACATGAATCAAGGCGAAATTACGCACGGAGGAGATTTTGGATGAGGCAGCTCTGAAGGCAGGAGGAGCGCACTGGAGGCTTTAAATTCCGTCTATTTACCTGTGATGTGTGTGTTGTTGTTGTCAGCAGTGGACGTCCTCTTGCGTCTAACACACGGGACCTGTCTGTGAGTCGGCTTCCCTGAGTTGAGTTTGTCCGTGCGGTTCTCCTGGTTGACCTCCACCGGACAGGGAGTGCTGCTGCTCTCGGGCACGGCCAAGCGCTCCAGTACATCCAAACGAGGGGTCTCTGGGAGAGCAGAGTCCGAGGAGGGCTTCTGCTTGACGGGCGTCGCAGGCACCCTGGTCCTGTCGTTCTGTACAGAGTCCTGATAAAACGCCGGGGTTTGATCCACGGGCACCTCTTCCCACTTGTAATCCCCATCCAGCGGAGTGTTGGCTTCGAAATTAAAGTTCCATCTCTGCTGGTCCCGCTCGGAAATCTCCCGCAGCTTGGCTTTCATCTCCCGGCTCAGCTCTTCGTGATCCACAGGTCCGAAGAGGTTGCGGCAAACGCTGGTGCGTCTGTGGAGAGGGAAGGTCCTCCTGGCCACCAGCCTCTCCAGCGCGCTGCTCGATAGTTGGACGTGAGACATCTCCGAAAAATCTTTCACCAAAAAAAAGGGCCCCCAAAGTGACAAAAAACAGGAAAGCCGATTGATCCCTGATGAGAGAGTATCAGGTGTTGTTGTTGTTGTTGTGCTTGAAGCGTGTGCGCGTCTCCTCTCCTCGCTCCTGCGTCTCTCTGCACCACACGGTTCTGTTTAAATGTACTTTTCACGGGGAGCCTCGGCGTATATAACCTCCCAACAGGTCGTCAGTCAGAGCTGGCACCTCGGACGACTTTCTCATTGGTTGCCGTAAGTCCAACCCTCTCCCAAAACACAGACAACCCCCACCCTGATTTCCCATCGACCCCCTGTGCTCTTTTGGCTGTGCGCCGAGCACAGCGCAGCGTTTTGATTTTTCTACCAGTGTCAACCCTCGGAGAAAACTGAGCGGACTTTCCCGGTGTCAGCGGGAAGGTGTTGAAGCTGCGTTCTGGGTCGCCTAGGAGCGCTTGGTTCCACTTTCGGACTCACTGTTGTTTTTCTCTCTCTGCGCACTCACTGCTTTCTGCACTGTTTTGTGCATCTGATCTGAGGATCGTTCATATTATATGCCGGCATACATCAAACCCCCCCCCAATATATGACATGTATTTTAACATGCAAGGGGTGAAAATGGTGGAGAAAGCTTATTCTCGCCAGTTAAATCCTCTGTCCGATTTTTGACCCTCCGACGTTACCCAACACTTACGCATAGACCCTGTTTCTGTTTCCACACGCTTTGCCCCCTTTTTTTTCTTCTCTCCGCTTCTCACCACAATAACACGACCGATGAGCTGCTCGGGTCATACAATGTCTTCACTCAGCAGTCTGCAGGGATTTTGCACTAAGAGAGCTGCTCTGGTTTTACGCACAGCAGCAAAGTAAACAGCAGTGAGAGGAGACATGGTCACAAATGAGAATTGTTTTAATGTAGTCATAAGGGCTCAGCTGAAGGAGAACTAGCTTATAAAAGCAAGACAGGGTTATTCTTAAGATAAAATCACGGCTTCCCCCCGTATTCTGGTTAATCACACCCTTTTAATTTGTTTTAAAATAGAGATTAGCTTCATACCTCTAAGTGGTGGATTAAGTCCCATGTCAGTTTACTGTTGAAAAAAACAACAGCATATAGCTTGAAATAAATAACGAAATAAAAATCACTCAGCCTGTTAATGTGCGTTTGCTGTATTCGAGGATAGTTCTTGGTCAGAACAGGCAGTTTATTCAGAACAGACTAAGCATCATTATCCGTTAGGCACATTCAGATCATTATGGAGCATCTTATTATATACACAGTTTCCCATAATCTTAGAACAATAACAATAAGTTTGACAGCGGATGCCTGCAGAGGCTGCTCTCCTCACGTCCCAACAGTCAGGAGAATCGGCCAACGCCTTTACAGCAGAAGACAGGCGCACAGCGACCCTCAGAGGCTCAAAGCTGAAACTACAGCGTGTTGAAAGCGTAAATACAGAAAAAGTTTGACGGACACAACCAATATACAGATTTTTGTAAATGGATGATAAAGCCTAAATCCATCCATCCATTATCTATACACCGCTTATTCCTCACTAGGGTCACGGGGGGACTGGAGTCTATCCCAGCTGACTTAGGGTGAAGGCAGGGGACACCCTGGACAGGTCGCCAGTCTCTCACAGGGCTACACTTAGAGACAGACAACCAAGCACGCTCACATTCAGACCTACGGACAATTTAGAATCACCAATTAACCTCAACATGGTTTTGGACCTTGTGGGAGGAAGCCGGAGAACCCGGGAGAACATGCAAAAGATCCCGAGTGTCCTCACCAGGACACGAACCAGCGACCTTCTTGCTGCGAGGCAACGGTGGTAACCACTGCACCACCTTGCAACCAAAGCCTAACCTCCTTTGATCCAAAATATGCCAAACTTCACTCCTCAGGACAAATGAAGTTGTTGTTTTTAATCTTATCTCACTAATGGACTCAACTAGTTACTCAATATAAACATACTGTTGGCGATAAGCTGCCATGGCTGAAGAACTTGCATCTATTTGCATATATATATATATATATATATATGTGTGTGTGTGTGTGTGTGTGTACAAAGAAATAGGGAGCAGCTGTGAGGGTGACAAGCTTTGAGCATCATGCAACATTGTGATACATGAGAGGTCACCAAAGGTCGTGAGGTCATGGCTTAAACATGAGTGTCATCAGAGTCACATGAAGGAGAGAATGTGAGGAGGGATGTTAATGTAGCAGTCAGCAGTAATGTAATGTGTCTTCACCAGGTGACTTTCTGCCATTCTCATATCCTATGGGACTGCCCACTTATCAGACAGAATTGCAATGATGTTCATGGAGCACTACCAGACATTTCAAAATATTTATTTCTTTTTAGAATAAAAACTGTTTATTTTGGATGCTTACCACAGGAATGGAGAAAAAAAAAAGGATAAATAGCTATTGAGTGTTTTGTTGGTTGCAAGTAAGAAATCTATAACTAAGAAATGGTTATCACAAGATATTCCCACCATATCAGCATGGTGGATATAACACTGGATATTTATAAAATGGAAGAGGTGACAGCATCTGTAAATGAAAAACAAGACTGGCTTGTAGCATGCTGGGAAAAATGGAGTTGCATACATAAAAATTAAAAATTCTAATTTTAATTTTGAGTTTGAAAAGTCAAAGACAATGTAATAGTCACCCCCTAATGTTCTGAAAGACCTTGCGTATTTGTCTATTTTATTTCTATTTTTATATGTATATATTTTTACATTTATCAATGTATTTACCTATAAATGTATGTTTTGTTTTTCTTTCTTTTCCTTCTTATTTTATTTATTTTTTCTTTCTGATGGGAAATTGTGTCTTGAAAAAATAACAATGATAACATATGTTGGCATGTGAATTGTACCAATGACTAAAAATTGCTAGAGCTGATAAATAAAGAATTTAAAAAAAAAAAAAAAAAAAAAAAAGAACCAGTGAGGAATGACAAAATACTGTCACTGATCCTTCCTGCTCATCCCATGTGTTGTTTTTCTCTCACATAAATCCTGTTTTCTTGATTGTTGCTCTTTAATATAACTATAACAATAGCAACATATTTTGGAGTCTTTAAATAAATTTTATATCTACCAATGATCATTGGTGGGCTTGTGTAGGCTCTAGTGAGACACATGAAACAATCCAGTGATCAAAGGAAGTAAGAATGTCCATTTGTTGTTTGGTGGCTCCCCCTGGTGGTCAGTGGTATTTAGTAAAAATGTGGCCTCAAGTAAAGCATTATGTCCAATTAGATAAAACATAGGGATGATTTAAAAATGATTTCATTTGACTTGTTGGCAGAATAACCGACAGACATCACCTTGTTAGCCTGCCATCACCCCTGTGTGTGTTTGTTGGACTGCTCTCATTGCGAACATCGTTCCTGTTAAAAAATAACAAATCAGATATTGGGTATATATACAGTGCTTCACAATGTGTTCCCAGTGTAAGGTTTTTGCCATGGCTATACGAAATTTCATGAGCATTGAGAATTTTCCAACATCATTTCTTATGTTTCTGTAATGGTTAACACCAGTGTGTAGAAGCTCTCTAACGGAAATTATATTTGTAACATTAAAATATATAATTGTTATCCATTAATTTTCAGACATACTGTTTCACAAAAAAACTGAAAAAAATTATGAAGCACATTATTATTTCTTGAGTAAGATCTCAAATTATAGTTATTTACTTGCAGAAAATGTAGTTTTAGCGGTTGAATGTTGTGCTTGGTCAATATCTGACTTCTGACTTAAATTTGGGTTTAAAAAGGTGAATTCAGTTTGAAATTCCTCTTTCTTGTTCAAAATTGTAAAACCTCTAGACCTGAGTGTACATTAAAGCACTTCATGATGCTGGATGGTCTATATTATATATTATTTGCAAAAACAGATAACTCCATCTTCACAAACCTTCAGAAAACCCACTTTTCCATCGTCTACCTGAGACAACATCAATCCATCTTAAGTGATCTCTACTTTTGTCATGTCATTCTACTGAGTCAAATCCACTCAACTTCAGATTGATATTATCTCAAGCAAACAACAACAACAAAAAAAGTTTTCTGAAAATCTACAAAAATGGAGTTATCTGTTTTTGCAAATGAACTCCTCATATATATATATATATATATACATTGCTCAACAAATTAACAGGTGGTCTAATACACTTGTTGAGTACTTTAAATAAATCTTTAAGTGTAGTATCCAGCCTAATTTTATTCATATTATCCCTAATTTAATGAAGTTCAACAGTTTGCTCATTCTGATCAGCTCAAACACAAAACAACATCGCTTTTTCCCTCAGTTTCGAGCTCGTGACAGATTGACTTTGTGAACTGGGAGGAACACTTCTGTTCCTCAGGCATAATATTCAAACAGATTTTATCAGCTGCAGCTTTAAAGGCGAGGAAAACACAAGGAGAATGTCTGTATTCATTAGTTTTGAAAGGAACGATAACATGCACACACACACACGCATGCATGCTTCAGATGGCTTAACTTGCTTTTTGACTGAAGTGGAAATATCCAGAGGGTTCAGTCCAAGTTAAAGACACCCTGCAGGCTCACCTGACTGTTGACCTAAGACCAGAAACAGATTTGGGACAATATGTGTTTGAAAGCGATGTCCTGTGAATGGGCTGTTGTCAAAGGTTTGACAATTTACTGCAAGACCTTGAACCAAGAATAAGAAATGTTTGCAAAATTCAATTAAATTCAATTAAATTCAATTATTAGATTCTATTTAATGCCTGTCTCAGCTTCTATGTATTTAATTTAATCTTTTACTTCCATCGGTCACACTGAAGTAGTTTTTACAAGAATAATGTGAGCAGTGTGTGCTTTACTATTGAAACTACAAACTAAAAATTTTTAAAAAGTAAAAAAAAAAAGACACCTCCAGTATTAGTCTGAATGTCTAAATCACTATATGTCTTATTTACCTGCTTGTTTATGACACTTGTGTTTTATGTTTACTGTGTTTTATGCTCTTCTGAAAAAACAAAATAATTGCTGTTGTTGATTGTCTTTGTTTTTGACCCATAAAGGCATCAAGTAAAAGGTTATTTCCAGGGTGTTGCTATCCATCTCCACCCCCACGTAGACCACTCACCTGAACACTCTGGTCCTTGTGATGTTTGGGAGAGGCTGCAGGCATCAACGCTGGATCTCTTAGAAGTAGGATAAAGGGTCATTTGGTCCCATGACACACCAATAAAACCTTTCTCTCTGCATGCTGCCTTGTAAGTCAAGAACACACCCGTCTTGAATGATTTCCTGGATGAGTTAGTGACTGTTTCCTACCTAATGATACACTCCACCAAACGATGTATGCATGCACACAAGCTCATCACACCTTTCAAAGAAATGCACGTTTTACAAAATCAAATCAATGAGCAGTGCAGACACGGTGCCGTCACTGTTTTATTGTGTCTTGACACTACAGCTTTGCTTGTTAATGCTTTGCAGAAACCCAAAGTGCACTGTGTGCTGCGTGCATCTAACTTGCGCAGCCTCTTTCAAGGTAAGACTTTATAGATGTGTGCTTTTGTCTTGGTGACCCTTAAACTTCTTTTGAACTCTGCCTCTCCATTGTTTTAGCTGTAAGAGACTTCTAAAGGTGTTTCCTTCCCATCCCTGTGTACCTTTTGGTTTTTAAAGTATTATTATGATTATGGGTTTGCATGTTCTCCCTGTAGGGTTGTAAGGTGGTGCAGTGGTTAGCACCGTTGCCTCGCAGCAAGAAGATCCCAGGTTCACATCCCGGTGAGGACACCTGGGTTCTTTCTGCTTGATTTGTATGCTCTCTGGGTTCTCTGGCTTCCTCCCACACAGTCCAAAAACATGTTGAGGTTATTATGTTATAGTGATTCTTAATTGTCCGTAGGTGTGAATGAGAGTGTGCTTGGTTGTCTGTCTCTAAGTGTAGCCCTGTGATAGACTGGCGACCTGTCCAGGGTGTCCCCTCCCTTCACCCTGAGTCAGCTGGGATAGACTCCAGCCCCCCGCGACTCCAGTGAGGATTAAGCGGTGTATAGATAATGGATGGATTATGATTATGATAATTAAAGAGCAACTATTACACACTGAGCTACAGCTGGACAATATATTTAAAGACTAGTCTTTGTAGAAACAATAACCATCTTCAAAGGAGAAGAATCACTTATGGGTCTATTTTGAATGCAAATTGTTTTATATGGCACGTAGTCAAACATTATAAAGTGACTTTAGACAAATAAAGTCCTTGGGCTGCCCCTGCCATTCATTTACCTTCACAAAAACAAAACTTCTGTCGTCAGTTTATGATCTACAGTGGTTGTTAGGGTTGTTAGGCCTCAGTAGGCTTCATCTAGTCTGTAGAGAACATTGCCTTTGGCTGTGGCTACTATAGTACCACACACACACACACACAAACACACACACACACACACACACACACACACACACACACACACACACACACACACACACACACACAGGTGACAGTAACACACATGCTTTATGTTGTTTTCCCTTACTTTTTCTCAATACAAACACAAAGCAATAAGAATAAAGAAAAGCACAAATGACAAATTTTGGAAACTTATATTGCAGAAAACAAACAATCATGCTTGTGAGACAGCTGCTCTGGGTAGAGGCTGAAAAACTTTTAATCCTATTAAACATGTGATATATTGAAAGTTGTATTCAGAACAGCTTGGCGGATTAGCCATACCTCCATAGATAACAGTTTTTGTGTTACACTGTTTATAAAATAACCAATAAGTGAATTAATGTAACTGCTCACGTGCAATTCAATTTACAGTCAAGTTTAAGATCCTTGCATGGAAAAGTGTTAAATTATTCAAACTTAAATTACCTAAGCAGAAACAGATTGTTCTCTCTCTACCTCTGGCCTTGAGTCCAAGACTGGTTACACAAGAGAGAGATAAATGCGGTTTTGCCATGTGCTGTCAGCTGAGGGATTTTCCAGTTGGAAAATTAAGTAACGAGGAGAATCATCTGAGTAGATCTTTTACCAGATCAACTTGTTGACAAAGTCTTAGTTAGGGTTATACTGGGCCAACAGCAGAAAGCTCTTAAAAGCTTCAGTAAGAAGAACAGAGAGTTCCTGCATACTTTCACAGGTTTCCAGATTGCTCAGCCGTTCCATCTGTGGGCACATCAAGCTGTTGAGGACTGCTGGGTGAGTTTATGCCACTGAGTGGCACAGATGAGATCATCAGCATCTTGCATTAAATGTCTCATTCCTATATTTCCAAAGCAAATACATTATCTAATTATAGACATTTGATGCTCTAAACACTAACTTTCAAGAAAGAAGAAAATGTTCTTTTGTTGTTGTTGTATTATCTAATGCAGTAATAACAGTGTCAATGGCTAATTATGTACTTATATGTCACTAAGAAGGCTGTAATAAGAACAACATTTAATTGTCTGGTGTTTATGCCTCTCACGAATGGTACTTACTTTATTATTTTTACCTCTTTAATTGATCAGAACATCTCCTCAACAACTGTCAAATGTTGTCTGTATTATTTTACTTTTTCTTTTGCTCATTTCTGTTAAATTTTAAACTCATGTTATTATTATTATTACTATAATTATTATTAATATTAAAAATAACAATAATATATTATTTTTAGTATATAGTAAATATTATTATTATTGTTATTATTATTATGTTATTATTTTGCCATTTTCTGTTGAATTTTGGTTGTAGCATTTTTCTTTCTTTCTGACAGATGTCGACTTGTAGTATATTCTTTTTCTTATTTCTGTTCATTTTAGTCTGCAGATTTTCTTAAATTTTAATTTGCTAATTTCTGTTAAATTTAGTCTAATATTTCTTTTTTTTCTCAAACTTTTGTGAAAGTTTGTCTCCAGTGTTTTTATTTTATTTCATTCATTTTAGTTAAACTTTAATTCTATTTTTTTTCCTCACTTGTCTTCATTTTGACCCTATATTTTTTTCCCTACTGTGCTAATGTTTGGTATATTGTACCTGTAATATTTTTAATTTTCTTATTTCTGTGAAATGTTCACTCTTATATTTGTATTGTCGTTTCTGCTGCATTTTGCCTCCACTCTTGTTTTTATTTCCCTCACCTCTGTGGTTGCCATGGTTAAGGATGGCGATGGAGGGCGTAGACTCGACGGATGTGACGACATACAAATTACCCCAATAGCTCCATGCCCAAAACATGTCATAACTTGGTTCCAAGAGCGTGTTTTTACACTTTCGCGTATAAAACATCGCACAGTTGTGGAGTTACTTGTATGAAACTGTCGTAACTGCAGGATTTCAGGACTTTAGCGTTTACTCATCACTAGCGTGTATAAATGGATGATCCTCACTTAAACCCGCCAGACAGATCAGACTGCAAATTTACCAAAAATACGAAGCGTATCAGGAGTAAGACTACCGAGTTTCAAATGTTGATTTCAAAGTACAACAATATCAATGTGTGGCATTTGAAGGTATTTTATTTTGGAAAGGCACACACCGGAAGCGGCTTAGTAGCTCAAGCTAACGACATGTCCATGTGATGTGTGTAGACAGTAGGTCGACGGTATGGAGCGGTTTGTCTGTTTGTACGTATAACACTGGCATTCTCCGGGATACGTGTCGAAAATATTATCCTTTTCTCTCGTAAGGCGGATTTCAAACGTCTGTGCTAATGTAGCGTTAGCATTTCCCGAACTCATCCGGACTGCAGTCAGTAATCCTATAAATTCACCTGGTAAGTAACGTTAGCTTAATTTGAACAAATAGCTAGCTAATGTACACACAGTTTCTCCGCTTAAATGGTAAAACACTCTGTCCTTAATGGTGATGTTTTTATTTAGCTCGGTAGGTTATTTTATAACATGCATGTCAGGTAACTTAGCCTTGTTGGCAAGGTCAAATAATCAAATAGTCTGCTACTAATAGCAGTTCACCGAGCTGACTGACATCGAGGCTTCGCTCCTATCGCAGTGCAGATGCTGTGATTTGTTTATCACCTAATATCCATCAGCTATAGATCCCCACAGTGTCAGAAAGTGGTCGCCATTGCTGACACATGACAGTGTTGTCCCGCCTGTTATGTAGACCTGCTTTGACATGAGCAGGCGGTGTCAGAGCAGAGCTACACTCATCTCCTGCCTGTCTGTGCTGACCGTCTGTCCGGCTGATCACTGCAGGTCAACAGCTAAAACAACCACCGCATGACGTGCTTTTCAGGTTATTCTCTCCCTCCTAGTAACGTACATTTCCTCCGACCACCCCAGGATGCTGACAGTCACTTGGGTGGGGCTGACGCGGATGACAGTAGACGGGAGCGGAGCTCAGGGATAAAAGCAAACCGCATAGGATCATTTTAAAGCACCGGGGGCGGCTGGTCGGTGAAGCCATGACCAAGCCTGAGTCGAAGAAAAGCGGCGTGGCCGTGATTAACGCAACCGGCAAGTGCGCCACAGCCGGAACCGCCTCCGAGCAGGTCAACAACGGCTCAGTGGATCCCGGGTGTCCGGATCCGAGCACAACCACTAAAGCCAAGGTGATGAAGCAGACCTCCAGGGAGAGTCTGCACCGGAGAAACACGGAGTGCGAAGTCTATGACGACGGGACCAACACCTTTTTCTGGTGAGTGGTTTCTGGCAATATCAACAATGTAAGTGAATATACAAGGACAATGCTTATAGTTAACAGAGCCTGTAGAAAGATGCATGTGTAGTTGGCAATAAGGCGCATGATATCTCTCAAGGTGAACTGAAAGACAGGCCCCAAGTGACCTCCATTGGATACAACAAATACTGTGACCTTGCTTCAAATTTCTAAATGTACAGTAAGTTGTATGATCAGTCTCAGGTTGAGCTGTTTTGGTGAGATTGTAAAAATGCAAAAGGACAGCAAGCAATCAACTAGACTTTGTTCACAGGGTGTTACTTTTTAAGGTGTTGTGCTAATGTTTGCTGTGCTCTCATGGATGCTTACATTGCATATCCAAGCTCAGAGCTTGTTGTTGAGAGACGCCAGCTAATATCCAGCTCTGCACCTTCAGCAGAAAGAGATCCATGACAGACTTAAAGTCAAGACAGATATTGCGTCCATGCAGTAAACTGAAGGACTGCATTTGTGTCAGTGTGCTCCCACTGACGCACGCACACGCACACACACACAGACACACACACACACACACATACATGCAGGATGTATGTGTTATGTTGTCATGGATGTCAGTCTGTGTGGCTAGTCCGGAAGAGTGACATTCTCCTCTGTCGCTGTCTTTAATTTACTGTCACCGTGGCTCTTCAATCTGTCGCGCCTGGAATATTTAAACCTGAGTAAGTGTATATGTGTTTCATCTCTGCTTTGTGTGTAACGCAAGGGTCAATAAGAAACAGCTCAGCTATCCAATATCTTTGGCAGCAGAGGAGACTGGTCCGCCAAGAGAGGGCCTTAATGAGAATTTCTCATTACTGTTTTACAGCCTTGGCATCTAGGTTTCAATAGTGAGACTTTAATGGCAGTGAAGATGCTAACATGCTTATGTCTACTCAAGTTATTAAAGAGGGGTGTCGGGGGTTCTAACACATGGCTATTACATTTATATTAATTAGGCCAACTAAATACTAGAAGCCTTTCTTGGTATACACAGAATAATTCATTAGCACTACATAATGCATTCTCCAGAATTAAAAGTTTAATTAAAACCTGTTTAAAATGGTTTCAATAAATACAGACCTATCCAGAGGTAGAATTTATTGCAAGGTTGTTGTATTAGGCTGGTCTAGTTTTAACCAGGTTCACCCAATAAACTGACATCCTGGGTCCCTGTAGATGAACACTGCATGCATAAAAAAGAGGGCAAAACAGTCACCATTGAATATATGTAGCATTTGAGTCTTCCCTGTCAAAATATTGTTTTCATGCAAACCACCACCACCAACATTTTTAAGAGCTGACCCTTGATAATAGCTGAGATATTTGGTGTTATCCAAACCACACACTGGCATGGAAATACAAGAAGTGGCAGCGAAAGAGGTGGTTGCTCGGAGTGGATTTATGACTGTGGAGTCAGTACAAGAGCACATTGGCTGTGTGTGGGAGTCTCCCAAGTGTTAGAGAGTTAGAACTGAAAACTGTTTGTGGATGATGACAGCTTCCTGTGGTTGTTAGGAAAGATAACCGCATGGCATCCAGCCTACCTTAGTGGCACTGATTGAAGAAATGTTATGTTTTTTCTGTGAGAAAGAGGAACAGCTTGGATAAACCTTATATAGAACTCAGACTGATGAAAAAGCATTTTCTGCTGGCATACCACTTTCGGTTTTTCCTTAAATAGCTTTGGTGTAGCAAGCCTTTCAGTTCAACGAAACTTGACACAGTTTGTGCAGTCTAACTACGGACAGTGGAAAATGACTTGACTTGATATTTGAGTCATGTTATCATAATATTTTTTTTTGTTGGTGCTTAATAAAGTCCCAACATTTATTTGTGAAGGCTATTGCAACGTTACATTTGCACACTGGTGACTGGTATTTCCTCTGCATCTTTTTATTCCCGGTGGTGTTGTGTGGTTGTCAAGCAAGAGAGAAGCCAGGCACTCCCCTGTGTCTCCTGCCAAACAGGTTGGATAAGGGGGTGAAACAGGGAGGAAATGCAAATGACACCTGGCGTGCTGTCTTTATGCGTCAGACTCTGAGCCCAAGGGCTGACAGTGGGGCTTCTGTGATTTGATGGATGACAGCAGTGATGTCTAAAAAAAAAAAAAAAAAGCTGTTCAAACCCCTGCTGTTTCGTAATATCAAGAGCCCTAAATAGTCAAATAGGTCGTATTGTTTTGTATTACAATTTCCCGTATCAGAACGTGGTTCCGGTCTCTACAGGCTTGTGTAGCTTCTATTTCTGGGCCACCTACCTCTAATGTTGTTGCAAAACCAAAAGAAGCACATGTAAGAGTCATGCTGTTGCAGCAGGTGACAGTTTCCTGAAAGACAGTAAACATTAGTATTCGTTCTGAAACAACTCTATGACTGCACCAGGCAACTGCACCCATACTTGGGAACATGAAGTCATGTCCACATGCAGTTTTGCAGTTTAAAGAGCTAATAAGAGATAACCACAGTCGTCATGTTTGTTGAAGAAAAGCTGTATTGATTAATTTTTGGACACTGGGACTGCCAAGCAACATACAAGGTGACATCAGCAGGTTAAATATGAGACTTACCTGTTATTAAATGGTATTTACTGTTATTGGTCAGTTGTTGTGACGAGGCCTCTAAATGTTGTTGTGTTTCTGGCTCAGAAAATAAGTTAGCATAACTCATATTGTCAGATGATTTTACCTTAACACATGTATGTATGTGTATTTTTGTAAATGTCGGCAATTTTAACATTCCCAACGCACTGTTGGTCCTAACTTTTCATGTCAGAATATCGGTTGATTGTGTCACAAACTACAACATGGACACAGCTCTGACCTTAAGCCTCTACATGCTTAATTGCATTCAGCAGCTATACTGACTGACCATGTGCTCTACAGTTGAACAAGTTACCAAAGTCCATTAACTGGAAAGCTAATTGTTGCTGAATTTCACATGTATTTACTTAACTGTATTAACCTGCGTTCATCAGTCAGTGGAGCACATTGTCCGTTCATAAGGTTAGTAAACACTGTTGCTGCCTGCTGTTTATTTGCCTCACACTGAGCTTTCCAATTGACTTGCAGTTTATTTGCTCACAATGCTGTTACTACGGTCTCTGTTTTAACCAAGCGCAGTGGGGTGTTTTTGGACAGCTGGAGTACCCTGAAGAAACAAATAAAGGGTCTGCAATAGGTCAAGCTTTTATAAAATGCCTGGGTTAGCTCCACTCTCAGTCCTTGGAATGGATGTGACATTCCTCTGAGTAATGAATATTGACTGATTCCATCCTGCTGGCTGACCCATCTGAGCTTCCCAGGAATGACATGAAAACGTAGACCACCCCCTCTTTGCGCCTACAAATGATGTTCCAATTATGTGCTTGTCAGCTTTTCAAGGAGCTAGTCTAGTCTAGTTGAGAAGCATGGGGTGATCCGTTACGTGCTGTACGTTTTCTTTACTCAGACATTATCAGTAATGGATAAATGACACTTTGCCCACTAAGCTGAGATAAATCCCACAGATTGCATGGATGTATTTCTGGACTACAGTAGTGTCACACCACATAGGCCAAGGTTTGTTCGCTGCCTTGGCGTGATATGAGAGATAGGAGCCTTTGGCCAATATCATGGCCTTCAGACTCAAGTTCATTTTGTTCTGCACAGGCATGCAAATGTTATTATTTTAACAGGCCAGATAGGGAGATTTTCAGGGTCCATATTCAGGCAAGTCACCAGAAAAGGGATGCAGAAGTTATTTTTGACTTCATTCCTTTCCATTAAGTTAAAGCAAAGTTTGACTAAAGTTGGTTACCCACCCTTTTTGCAACTATTTTCGGCTGCAGTAACCTAGTTTCTCAACAGAAATGTGTTTCAACTCATCTGTTTTATCTCATTATTGCTGCTTTCAGTTCCCCCTGTTTGCTTTTGATAATTAACATTTTTTAAGTCACAAGCCAAGAATGTTAAGCTTTGTTAAGACACTTTGTTTAGTAATTACAAGTGTGGTCTAAGCTCAAATTGCAAGTATTAATAATGCTAAAATTTCTGTTGTGGTAAGTCAGATCATATCAGCAGATTTCTTTAAATTCTCTCCTCTGGTGGCTTTTATTACAAACAGTATTAATATCCGTCTCTTTGTTCTCTCTCTCCCTCTTTCTTCGCAGGCGAGCCCATACTGTGACAGTGCTGTTCATTCTGACCTGTGCTCTGGTCTACGTCACGTTGTTGGAAGAGACTCCTCAAGACACGGCTTACAACACCAAGAGGTCAGTAGGCTGCATTCGTCACTTCCTCAGCGTCCACAAAGCCAAAACTCTGCAGGACCCCAGGAAGCAGACCAATTATACCACCAGAGCCTTCTGGACTGATGTGTTGTGTCATGTTTTTGGCAGCAGTTTATCTTTAAGGGAAACTTGTTTAATTAGTAATCAGCATCACTAGTCAAGGTGACTTTGTCCTCAGTAGTGTTCTGTTAGTCTAGGAGCATTTTTGGGGGGCTTTTTTTGTTTTTGGTGTAAAATGACGGGAATTGCAGAAGCAGTTGTATTTGTCAACCTCCGGTGGGTCATGTCACGTTGCCATTCAAAGCTCAGTGAAAAGGTCATGTAGTGCAACTGGCATTTTTAATCTCAATGTTAACATCATATAGCATGAAGCCATACAAACATAGCAACATGATTGAGGTGCAGAATTTGTTTCCAACTGAATCACTTTCTTTTTCAGTAGCATTCACCTTGAGCACAGCTGGCCCTCTTTCAAGACCATGTGTAGCAAGACCTAGCTTTTAACAGAATAATAAAACCTTGATGACCAGGATAAAAAAGAGCATGAATTCAAGGTCACCATTTAATTAGATTATGTTTTGGCGACTAGGTTTTACAACGTGTCCTTTCAACATTGTAAAAGTATGTGTCCCAGTATATTACATTTGATGAGCCATAGAGACTTAAATACATGCGACATGACTGACGTGTGAGTCAGTTTCCTCTGTTCGTGCCAATTCCAGAAAGTGGCACAGTGAAGTCGGTGCTGGAAACTTAGTGGCAACTGTACTGAACACTCTGTGCTTCCACATAGCAGTGTTGGAAAAAAAGCAGCACTCAATACCGGCAAAAGAGTCGCCATACATGTTTATCTTCTGGGTGAATTTAGTTTCGTACTATTCAAAGATTTCAGAGACAAACTAATAAATAATGTGCATTTATCTATTAGGCTTGGGCTATAGGATATGTTAAAGTAGTCAAACTAGCCATTGTCAGATTACTTATATGTTCTTGAAGGCGTCTGATTTGAAAAAGAATCCGATGGCGGCACATCAGTACTTACAATGCATTGATTTATATGGGGCAGCCCACCACAATATCAACATTTACCACCACATATTGATTTTTTTGCTGTTTGAAGTAGTTAAAATCTTATTTCATTGTGAAGCTGCACCCTGCTCTCGCTCTCTTTTTCATAAACACCCTGACAACAGAACCTCTGCATGTACACTCTGAATCAAAATGTGCATGTTGGCTTTTTAGAATAAAATCAATACAGAGTTTGTGAACGGTTAGTATCATGAACACTTCGGCACAAACTTATCCAAAAGTGACACATTCAAGTTAACTCGTTAGCTCATAGCTGCTAACTAGCCTTTGAATGGTCTGCACTTATAAAGCACCTTTTTCCTTAGTGATACTCAAAGCACTTTATAATGTGTTTCTCATTCATTCAGTCACACACACATTTATAAGCCAATGGACAGAGCTGCCTTGCAAGGTGCCCGGCTTGCCTACCTGCCTGCAGAGGGGCTGGGATCGAACCGCCAGCCTTGCTATCAGTGGACAACCCGCTCTACCACCTGAGCCATAGCTTCATTGACACTTTATTGTCCAGACCAACTCTTTAGTGATGAGAAGAAGCAGAGAGACGCCATCATAACTCTGCATGAACAGGTTCTTTATTTTGTTTTCTGAGGATTTGAACACGGTACACAACATTGGGATGACTATTATACTGAAATTTGGGGGCTGCAAAGTGGTGCAGTGATTAGCATCGTTGCCTCGCAGCAAAAAGGTCACCGGTTCGCATCTTTCTGCGTGGAGTTTGCATGTCCTCCCTGAGTTCACTCTGGGTTCTCCGGCTTCCTCCCACAAGGTCCAAAAACATGTTGAGGTTAATTGGTGATTCTAAATTGTCTGGAGGTGTGAATGTGAGTGTGCTTGGTTGTCTGTCTCTAAGTGTAGCCCTGTGATAGACTGGTGACCTGTCCAGGGTGTCCCTTGCCTTTGCCCTAAATCAGCTGGGATAGGCTCCAGCCCCCCCGCGACCCTAGTGTGGATTAAGCGGTGTATAGATAATGGATGGATGGAGGAAATTTTGGATGCAGCTACGTGCTGCTAACTTACTTTCCTGCACACATGCAACTTCCAACTTTCAGGTCCTATTAGCACATGCTTTAAATTATGCTTTACAGGTTCGTTATTTACCAAAAAACATCCCCCAAACATGTCAGCAATGAACTCAGCCAATCGCCTTTAGCCAATATACTAACTCAACAAACCCACCTACTATCTATTAATGCCATGAAAAGTGCGGTAAAGATAAACAAAGTCCAATCAACATTTGGTGTGACTTTGAAATGGCAGAAAACCTCAGAGGAACAAATGAGCACAGACTTTCAAAATGCTCGGCAGGTATGTTGTTCTAAGCTTCTTGGATAAGTTGTCACACTTCCTCTGGATTTATTTTGGCTCTGTGTCTTCTCTTACTTCATGCTATCTGACACTAACGCCATGATTTTGAGGTCAGAGCTCTGTGAAGGACACATAATCTCATGCAGGACTCCTCGTTCTTCTTGTAACTTAAGATAGTTCTTTCTCAACCTGGCTGTTATATTTGGTGGAATTGTCATCCTGCAGAATGACTTTGAAGCTTATAAGTCTCCTTTCTGATGGTATGGCGTGATGGTTAGGAATTTAAATATCAAAATTGCCTACAACCTTCTCACAGTGTGGTGTATTATAGGCTGACAAGTCAAAACTGCTTCTAGCTTGTGCTACTTGTACCACTGATTATGGGTTTTTTTGTTTGTGGCAAAATGGATGTGAGGAGGAAAACCATATTGGTGTTACTTCTAATTTTACAGAGCAGGGTTTTATGACTTTACACGGTGTGACAGAGCTTCTATTATTTTGAACTCTCAAATTCTCTCTGTTCTGTAATTTTTTTAAGGAGGTTTTGCTAAAGACTCCAATCTTTGTGTGAGAGTTCACCGAGGCTGAATCAGAACTGATGAATGATGTCATATTACAATAAGCTTCTTTTTTGGAGTTTATTTTGCTTTTATGCCATGGTAAATGTGCATTTAGGAGATTGATTGAGATAGCGAAGGAAAGCACAAGCAAGCTGTATTAATGATGCGTGTTGGTGTTTGTGAGGGATTGTGGGACGGTTCTTAACAGGATTTGCTGCAGTCAGCGCAGTCCGGCTCGCCAGGATAAAGACCCTAGAGCTTCTTCCTGGCAGCGGAACGCACGAGCACCACAGCATGAGTCCTCCTCACGTACTCACTCGTGCACTGATACTCAATTTTATATTCAAGTCACATTCCACATTTTATTTAGGCTCGCTTGCTCACACAAATGCCTTCACACTGACACACTGTTGTACTATTTGAATGACATACTCCTAATTCCCCACCCACCCACACACACATACAATCAATCACTTAATCACACACACTTGGCACTTGGCAGGCACAAGCTGTAATCTCATTGTATGCCCAGTGTGGTAAGCCACAAGCCAACCCTGTTTACGTTCGACTTGAGAGTAACATGCTTGTCTGGTCTCCTGGTTTTCAGATCTTCACAAAACAATTATCAAAGGTACCACAGCTTGACTTAGATAGGCCTGATCTCTCAGGAAGCACAAAGGAAATTGCAATAAGTAACAAATCCATGACCAGCTGCTGAAACAGGCATCCAGATTCGAGTTATATCAAATTATACGTCATTACTTTGCCCTTCCTGCTGTGTTTAATTCTCTGACATCACAGGCCTTTGAGGAAGGCCAGGCTTAACAGGGATGGATGGGTTTTTTTAAGGCTTGGAAGTGTTTTTAGACTGCAGGAAAAAAGACTTACATAAACTTAAAACATACTTTTCTGTGTTTCTCATTGTGCTTCTGTAGGGGGATTGTGGCCAGCATCCTGGTGTTCCTCTGTTTTGGAGTGACACAAGCCAAAGATGGACCCTTCACCAGACCGCATCCAGGTAGGAGAATCACATTATTACCTAATTAAAGCAATTTATATAGAAATGTATCTATTTCTACATTATCAGCTGTTGTAGTTCTGTCTTATTCCATTCTGAAACATATCCAGACTGTAATGAGAGTTTGCGGTTTTGAGGTATATTCCACTAAGTGAAAAGGTTGAAATGCATCTGCTGCCAGCATTAAAAGAGACTTGTGTCATTGACAATATATTTGTCATTACGGTAATTGACCACTTGGTTCATAAAGCATCCCATTATCAGCCGGAGCCCAGGTGTTGAGACTGACTTTTTTTTAAGTGTGCATTGATTATTTCTCCATTCCTTCCCTGTGTAGAGGGTAAGAGCACCCGAGAGCTGTTATCACAACTTCAATCAATAGCAACATCTGAGAATCTCATGTTGGCCTCTAATATGAAATACACAGCCTCTGAGTGCTGGGAATCAGTGTCCTAATGTGATCGTCAAATTAAAGGAGATGTCTGAGTACATTAGAAATCCTCACGGAATGCAAGTGGAGTGTTTTAGGTCCGGTCAAAACCCCTTAGAGACAAAGAAAAACCCCAACAAACGGTCCAGACAATCAAAACGTTTCTTCTGGCTCAAAGCAGTAATATTTACAGTGCTGTAGGCCTCAATGTATAATTTAGACTTGAAAATGATGACCTCCCTTTAACAAAGTAAAGATCCTGTTCATCGGTTTATTGAAGTGTGGTAAATATGCAGTACATTTCAATAACTAAATGTTATGCAATATTTCATGGCCAGTGAAACTTGCTGATTCTGTCTGACTGTTTGAACAGTATAGTTAGACACCTGATAGAGGTGTTGGTCACCAGTTTTGCTCTAATCTGCTCGTATTAAAGCTGTAGGTAAGGTACGCTTAGTGTTTATGTTATTTGTGTACCTGTATAAAAGATGATTCACTGTGAGAGCTCTAAGTTTAATATAAAAGCATCTTTGGTAATTACGTCATCCAAGTTGTAGAAGAATTGAAAGAGAGGACTTTTTGAGTTGCAACGCAGCAAAGCTGGTGGGTTTAGGACCATCTGCATGTGAAAGGAGAGATAAAGAGTCATATGATAACTTGCTGGGTGTGTTGCCTGGATAAAATTAAGAAAGCATCTTGTGCAGATACAAAGAGATAAACTGTATGGGCCAGACTACAACCGAAGGGCTGTGGCAGTTGGGTTTGTACCCTATTGCTTTGGTAATTTTGAATCATTACAGAAGGTGCTTCATTATTTTTATATTTCTCAAGAGTACGATCTGTACTTTGTTTCTGATATGAGGGCCAGCTACAAAATGTATTTAAAGTGTAGTTATTTTAAAATTTCTTTAGGATGTCTAGGCAGCTTCTACTGAAATCACACTGTGCTTGAAAGTGGTAGTCTATCTGGGATTTGAAAGAGCGCATTCATGCAGAAGATGCATCTTATGTCTTTTACAACACATAACAACCAACTCCAGAGGGAAAGGATGTCAGGAAGGAAGGAAGATAACAGGGTGTGGACGGCAGTTGCAGACAAATTGAATGTTGTTGATTGTTGAAGGCGTGAAGTGGCCATGCAAGAATTTGGGTTGCCGTCGTTGCATTACTTGTGCCTTCTTGCCCCCTCCTTTTGTGGGTTGAAAGACAAGGGGATGTTGTTTGTGTGTATGCATGCAGTGATTGCGTCACGCTCCCTGGCCTGTTGAGCCAGCCAAGTAGGTTCTGGTGTTGTTCACCTTGTTGGAGCTGAGTTTACACAGATTTGTATCCTGGGAAAAAGGCCCAGAGGGATTTTCAGATTGACAACCTGTAACTCCCGCTGGATCACAAACTGGGAGTGTCACAGTAGACTGAGCTTTTCCATATGAATGCTCACAAGAGTAGCAGTTGACTTAAAATACGCTTCCTATGGGCGGCTCCAACTATTGGGTTCTGCTTAAAATGCCTAAGGCTTTTATCAAAGTTTTATCAGTGCTTTCACCTGAGTTTTAACTTTAATAGAAATGAGGTTATCTGCAGTACCTTAATGATTGTAGTACTCAGTTATAACTAAATGTCTCTTTATCCTTGGTATTTTAAAAAAAAAACAACTACAATATATGTTCAGTGAAGCAATTCAGATAGCCATACTTCAGGGCAAAAATCACCATAACTTAACAATCATACTTTGACAAGAAATCAAATGGCTGCAGTCCTAACAGCTCATCTATTCATGTGTGGTCATTGTGTTCTTTTTAAATGTCTTACGCCAAAACCCACACTACCCATTTATGTACTGTATGCTGGCTGGATAAGAGCGCTAGTGGGAGGACTAAATGTCAAAATCAGGGTACGAACACAAAAATTGCATAACCTACCGATTAAATATTAGGCTTCACTGGCTACTGAATGATAAATGCTTCTAACTGAAGGGAGGGGTACGTGCAGAACAAATAGGTGTAGTTAGGCTTGTCTGAACAGCCTGTGAGAATTGACACGAATGCAAAATTGTCATCCAACATGTTTAAGTGACTCAGCTTGTGTCTGGTGTAACGTGTTTCTCTCTCTCCCTCTCTCTGTAGCTTACTGGCGGTTCTGGCTTTGTGTCACTGTTGTCTACGAACTGTTCCTTATCTTCATCTTATTTCAGGTTTGTTGATGCTATTGATGCCAAGAATGTTAGAGACGCATGATTGCATCTAAAGACACATACAAATACATTGCCAAGGGGAACATTATATAGCAATCACATAAAGTATGTCAAGCACACAGCAAGCTCATTTTTCTTGGGTGTTTTACTCAACCACTTCAGTGACACAGTCCCTCCCTCTTCCTTACTACGAGCAGAACTCCTTCACTAAAGACAGTTTCCTAGACTTTCAAACTGACCTTTGGTTTAAATCTTGGATTGTGCAGTCCACAAACCATCTTGAAACAGTGGCCAAAATACGGGATTTTTTAAAATCAGATTTCTGTTCCAATCTCTGGTGCTCTTTCTGCCGTGATCCCTGGAAGCCTCTTGTCTCTCTCCCAATTTAATTAAAATTTCTATCACTGAGCCACACTGTCTTAATCAGGCTTGAACACTTTGTAAAAAAAAAAAAAAAAAGTTTAGACACTTAACTACTGTCTGGGCTGAAAAGTTAAATTGTAGCTCATTGAAAATGTTAAAAACTGTACTTTTATGGTAAAAAATGCACAGTTAATTGAAGGAAGAGAGGTCATACTTCCTAAGATCTGATGGTTCCCTTTCTTCTTCATCACCTCGTTATCTAGACGGTGCATGATGGACGACAGTTCATGAAGTACATTGACCCCAAATTGGGTGTACCCCTTCCTGAGCGCGACTATGGAGGAAACTGCCTCATGTATGACCCAGGCAACACTACGGACCCCTTCCACAACATCTGGGTGAGAAATTGTTTCTTTATTTATTGTATTTAACTTCCTGTCAACTGTACACTTCATCTGTGCAAATGTGGTTGTTTGAAAGTCTCAGATTTTGAACATGTTTTAAATATACAGGAGTATTCTCACTCATTACTGCTGTACTGTAATAATTTATAAGTAACAGGCCACCTTCCAAGAAGTGAAATTTCTGGCCCAGTCTTGCAGTTCTAATGCTGTCTGCCTCGTCCTCAATTATACTAATAAGGAAATGACCCAGATCTCAAATAATGTGGCAGGCTAAACAAGTCTAAACACGGAACCTCTGCATTACTGTGAAACTGAGTAAACCCTCTCTCTTTTCCCTTTTCTCATTTTCTTTCCCTCATCTACTCGTTCTCTCAGTTTTCCTGTCCTGTTTTTTTCCTCTTACTTTTTCTCTCTCATGCACACACACACAGTTAGTGTGGCTGTGCGCTGACTGGCTCCAGAGGCTGGTGTCTGGTGCACATTACAGCCCGTCAGTAGAACCAGGCCTTCTTCTCCCTTGGAGAGGCAGTCTGCCGCTGCCGCCATGACCCACACCCCATCGCTACTATTAGCCTCATTTCTTTATGTGCTCAGAGTGGGTCAAGCATCCTTTTCTTTTACTAAATTACTGCCAATCTACCTGAAAATAGCTTTGTAAAATGTGAAATTATGACCAGATAATAAGAAAGAAACTTTAAACAAAACAAATGTTGACTTGTTGGTACAAGAACATGAACTAAAATGTGCTAAACTGCAACACAAGAAGAACTGAATTCAGTCCTCATGGGGCTGAACTGTAGTTTTAGATACATTTTACTTGAATGATGTTTAATGATGCCCTGTGAAGCTTTGTCCTGTTCAGTGACCCAGTACTCACTGTGCTCATTTCTGTTCAGTACCAATGTGAGCTAGATGCGGTGCTTTATTAGAACACGGAGGGCCCTATTTTAACCGTCCAAGTACGAGTGTGAAGTGGTGGGTCTTGGGTGCACTAACTGAGTGGGCTTCTTGAAGTGCACCTGCTATTTTGGTTCATGTAGGTGCAGCATTGCATCATGCAAAAGGGATGAATGAGCTGGAACATAAACCGCAGAGTGTGGTGTTAATAAACACACACTCAGCCAGTCACACCACATGTGTCATCACTCTGAAAACTGAGCTGAAATAGGAAGTTGGAAAAAAGGCAATCATGCCCAGATTGATGAGCCACTGTGGTACGTCTCTCTCCATTAAATGGCGTTACCTTGTCGCAGCCCGGCGTCACTTGGAGGTGATTTAATGTTAGGGAAAAAACAGCAGAGGATCATGCACTGCCCGTTAGTGTGGCACTTGTCAAATAAGAGGCTGCATATTTATCAGTCTGTGTGTCCTGCTGCCTTCAAGTGGCTGCAGAGATAAAAATGATTTCACAGAGAACAATCTGTGGACAACAGATACCGAAAGCATTTTTCACTTTTCAATTGGATTACTGGTGCGTGGTCTGTAGTTTGCATGTCTTCATTAAATTACCAAAGTGGCAGCCGTTTTACAGAGAAACATCTGTTTTCAGTGGAAAGTCAGTTTGGCACATTTATAATTGTCAGAGTGCTGCATTTTTGGCATACTAGGTGAATTCAAGACAGTGAAAAATGATGTTATGTTGACTCTGTCATTCAGCAGTTGACAAAGTGACGTACAATTTAATTAAGGTGCATGTTGGACATAGATAGAAGCTTAACAACATTTTTGTGAAGAGAACATGGTGTTACATTAACACATTGGTTTTTCTCTACAGGACAAGATGGATGGCTTTGTTCCTGCTCACTTCCTAGGATGGTATATAAAGGTAGGTTCAGAATAGTCTGCCTCACAACTGATCCCAGTTCAACTTGGCTGATCCAGTTGGCTCGCTTCAACTGTACTGTTGATGAGAATCAGCAGTTCAGCTCCTTAATTAAAACAAAATCAATTTGCCTCATTGAATCAGTTGAGCATGTGACATGAAAATGAGAATTGTGCCAGTAAGTCCTGCTGACATTAAGGGATGACAGAAATGTTTGAGCCCATGATCACAGATTATACACGTTTACAGTAAAGAGGAAGAAATGTTCATAAATTTGACTTATTGAGATTACAAGTACCTCAATCATTAAGCACCAACTTAGTTTTCATTGTTTTATTAGGATAAAATCTGCAGTTTATTTACAGACACACTGTCAGTAAGAGGTTGAATATATTGTGTCGATATACAGCATTGAACAAAGTTACTTTTTTTGTTGTCTTGCTGACCTTCCCTGATTCCACACCGCTCTCCTTGTATTCATCCTTCCCTTTTACTCTTCGTTTTCCTTCAGACTCTGATGATTCGGGATTGGTGGATGTGTATGATAATCAGTGTCATGTTTGAGTTCCTGGAATACAGCCTGGAGCACCAGTTACCGAACTTCTCAGAGTGTTGGTGGGACCACGTAAGTGTTTCTGCTCTTCTCCTCAGTTTACACATTCCTGTGCGAAACATACTTTGAAATGATCAGAGTCAATCAACAGTACCAATAACAGAACTACATGAGGCATTTTGTATTTTAGGGAGTAACATTTAGACGTACTGGAGACAGAAAATTGTATTGAACATCAAGACACCTGCTCTTAAGGCCCTGACAATGTTGACTGTAGACATAATGCTGACATTTTCCTCGAAACTGAGTCACATTTGACATTTTCTCAGACTGGTGTTAAATAAAAATATAGTGCAGTGAGCAGACATCAATATACTAAAAGTGACTCCAGGTGTGTTTGTTCAAATTGAGGTTCTCTGTATTGTAAACCACCATGAAAAAGTTTCTCAAAACGAGAAGTAAACATATTTAGACAAAATGTAGTATACCTTAAAAGTAAACCAAAATAAACCTTTTCATGAAAAAACACTGGTAAATTCACCTTGAAATTACTCGAGTCTGGGAAGGTCACTTTAACCCAGAGCGCTCAGCAGCACAGAGAAGGGGGCAAAACATGGTGCAATTAAAGCCATTTCATTTTTGCTGTTGAGATTTATGATAGCAATTAAGGTCCCATTTGTTCATGCGATAAGAATGATATATCAGCAGTAAACTAAGAGGCAACAAAAACTGATAGCAAGGAAGTGAGGTCCATTAGAAAGCAATACAGGAACAAAATAAAATGTAAACAGATAATTAGTGCGAGGATAAACAGTGGACTGTGAAAACTTCTTAAACACGCTGCATCTGTTACCTAGTTGCAGCACAAGAAGTGCTCATTTATAGTAAATATGGATGACAGCTTAATACATGTAGAATGTAAATATCCTCTACATGCCTGATGAAATAAGGAAACACACACACACACACACACACACACACACTGGTGTTATCATTTCATTCTGTCTGACAGGTGGAGCAAAGCAGTTTTTTTTCCCAAGCTCCACATGACTCCACATGAGCTCCATAATAAAGTGAACTCCATGATAAAATGTGTTTTCCTGCCTCATAGATTGCAGCTAAACTAACAGGGGAGTAAAAGAGATGTTAGTCAAGCCTGATCTGTTCTCACCCACACAGTCCTAAGAAAAGGTCTAATCTTAACAAGCTTGTGTAGGAGGAGCACGGATGTGTAGGAGTGTTACCTCATTTACACTTTAATAAAATAGTTCTCTCTCTCTCTCTCTCTCTCTCTCTCTCTCTAGTGGATCATGGATGTGCTGGTGTGCAACGGTTTGGGGATTTACTGTGGAATGAAGACCCTGGCTTGGTTGTCGATGAAGCCGTACCAGTGGCAGGGCCTCTGGAACATTCCTACATACAAGTACGTCTTTAGAAAATCTGCAGGACACAGACCTCTGCTCACGTAGAATTCAAACCACAACATTTACAGCAGTTATTTACATTTTTTACAAATAGATTTCTTTCACAACTTCACACTTAGTATCTCCATTAAGAATATCAACCAACTGTGTTAGAAATAGATGTTTGTTTATGCCTAATAGTATCTCTCCTTTGTGCCTCCCAGGGGGAAGATAAAACGTATAGCCTTCCAGTTCACACCATACAGCTGGGTGAAGTTTGAGTGGAAGCCTGCTTCAAACCTTCGTCGCTGGCTTGCTGTGTTAGGCATCATCTTTATGGTGAGAAATATCCTGTTTTTACCAACATGAAAATAAGGAATTTGGATCATTATTGCAAAAGAATGAGATTACAATGCAATGAAAAGCACTGAAAATAAAAACCCTCCTAATGCTTGTCTTAAGAAAAACTGCAGAAATATGTATGCTGTCCTAAGGATGCTTTTTTTTTTCCCCCTCAAATTTTGCTTCTCTGCCTGATAGCTGAATTAATTTCACTATGTCCTAAGTATAGGTCTTAAACCATTAGTTATAGGATGGGAAGTAATCATTGACAATCAAGGCACTCTCATGTTTTTCCCAGTTTATTATCGTTATAACCTTTCTGTCCTTCCCCGCTTTCCTTCAACGTCTTTTAATTTCACTCCTCCTAAATTAAGATTTGCATTATTCCCCCCCCTCCCTCATTAGTTCCTCTTGGCGGAGCTGAACACCTTCTACCTGAAGTTCGTATTGTGGATGCCTCCTGAACACTACCTGGTGCTGCTCCGCCTCGTCTTCTTTGTCAACGTGGGAGGCGTGGCCATGAGGGAGATCTATGACTTCATGGATGACCCGTGAGTAGCAACGGGGAGTCGGCTGGCTGGAGGTGGAGGGTTCGGCTTGGGGCGCAGGTTGATCGTTTGTATGAATAAAATGAGCAGGACACTATGAATCATCTGAATGAGCCATTTATACAACAGGCGGGGGCTGGAGCCTACCCCAGCTGACTGCTGACTTAGGGTGAAGGCAGGTTACACCATGGACAGATCACCAGTCTGTTGCAGGGCCACAATAAACCAAGGTCCCATTTTAAAGCAGTCAGTTGATAATAAGCACCACAGTTTTACAAAGTAATTTGATTGGTCAAATAACAATCATCCCATGTAGATAATCGCAATAATTGCAATAAAAAGTTACACACACCAGCCATAAACGAACCTCTGTCTGTTGGCATTGGGCATTTCTTTTTTTAATTGCCTCACACGAGCAATAGGATTCTAAGTAATAAAAAAAAAATCATTTATTATCTTCCATTTATCTAGACTCAGGTCATAGTGGCACTTTTTATGATACAGGGTGCATGTAGGTATTTTCCACATTGCAAACATACCTATGAACAGCACAAACATCCTCCTGGTTATATCACTTTTCCATAATAATGCATTGTATGATTTTCCCAACAGGAAGTTCCACAAGAAGCTCGGCCAACAGGCGTGGCTGGTGGCAGCAATCACAGTGACTGAGTTCCTCATAGTGGTCAAGTACGACCCCAAAACCATTATGCTGCCCATCCCCTTCTTCGTCATGCAGTGCTGGTTTTTAGGAATCTTCCTCATACTCATCTGGACCCTATGGAGGTTTTTCATTCGGTAAGAAGTGGGACGGGTCACTGGGCGGGGGGGAAGAAGGTAAGGGGTGTAAACAATGTGGGACATAGAGGTGTAAAATCTTGTTAAAATCTCTGCTTCTTGAGCTAAAGCCGTGATTTATACCTTTTTTTTTTGGTGCAAACATAAGGTTTTGACAAAATTACAAATAGCCCCTTGAACCCTGTGCAGTTTGTGAGTTTTTTTTTTTTTTTAAATATTGTTTTGGGCTCATTCTTTACTCCAATATAAAGTCCTGCACCTCTAGCAGCACATCCATGGATATTTTTACAAAAATCTTACTGCAGTTCAGCTAAAAAGACCTTGAACGTCATGTGACTGTTGGTTCCAGCTGAGTCACTAATGGTTTAATGGTTGCACCGAGGCGTGCAGAAATTTTTTGCAGGGTCTGGCTGGAACAAATAGAATATTTTGGCACATTTTTAAATGTAGAGCAAAGTGAGTTTGGTGAAATATCACACTTCTAAGTGTAGATTTGGCTGTTTTTGTAATTGAACACCACGTCCCTGATGAACTGTTCGTGAACTATTGGAAAGGGGAAAATCTGATGGATAGTTTTTGCTATTTTAATTTTTTTTGTCCTTTAGGGTAACATGTCCTTTAAAGTTTGCCAGCGAGGCTTTGGCAATCTAGAATCACACACAGGAAGAACATAACAGTCAGTTCACATGCTGCTGTTTTGCAGCACGACACACTTTTGCAGTTTGCTAAAGTTATTTTGGAGACTGTTACATTGTAAACAGCACAGTTTAATCCCAAAATATGACTTCACATGTGAGGGAACCCGTCCAATGTGAGTTTTAGCAACTGGTCCTGGATTTTTGATTTAGATTTTCCTCATGACCTCATGCAGTGATGTGATTTAGGTTACTTTTGGTTTGATTCACCTTCTGTTGAGTAGTGTTCCTGTTAAGTGCAGCCCAGTCCCAGCATGTTAAGCTTCTTGTCTGTTTTCTCCCCCTCCCAGCCTCCCCCGCCCCCCCTCCTTTTCTCCTCCCCTCCTTCCCAACTCCTTCCTGCTCATGCTCAGCAGTAATGCAGTAATGTCCTTGTCAAGTGAGGTAGGTATAGGAGAGAGGTGCCTTGCCCCCATCCACTCCCTCCTATCAGCAGTGTTGTATTTTTTTTTTTTTCTTCTCTAGCACATCACCGTTTGAAATCCATTATTATAACCAGAGGATCTTTGGGTTCCTCTAGAGATAACACAGATGTCACTCCTCATGGATCCATCTCCTGCATGGCAGTTTACAGTTTCTTGCTGTGGTGAATTTTTGATCATCTTCATTCCCCCTCCCATCATGTTCACAACAGTTGCAGTCAGTTTAGCGATGCAGCAGACATCCAGCTTGTGCTGACACTGCTAAAGCGAGACAGGAGAATGAAACCCAGAGGGACTGTTAATACACCCCCCCCACACACCACGTGCCAGTCAGCATGTCGGCACCTTCTACTGAACTGCACATCACCTGCTGAGAGCCAAGCAGATCACCTCCACCAACTCCCATGGTGCACCTCCCTCCAAGTCATACAGTACAGTGCAGCAAGGACACCAGGCACTGAAGCATGTCATTTTGTAGTTATTCCGACCTGGGTGAATCGTATTTGCGAATGGTTTGCAAATACCATTTTACCCAGTTGTGCAGACCCAGGTGTGTCATGTCCTGCTCCTTATCTAATACACTGCATTTAGCGTCAGCAGACCCAGGTGAGTTCTGAGGGTGCTCCACCATTAAGTGTCCTCGAGATTCTCATCAGGGCCATTCAAGATAGTGCTCCTTTTTTTTTCCAGAGTCACTGGTTATTGTCTGACGAATTCCCTTCTTGATCTCGGACACATTAATGGTATACGATCTGTGTTTGGTGCCTTTTGTTTTGGAACCAAATACAAAGTATATGTAATAGCTATCAAGTATTTTTCACTCGGTTAATTCAATATTTTGTTGCGACGTATCCGATATTACACAACCACTCTGAGCATGGTGTATGCCTTGCTGTCGACCATTTCTTTTTTTAATTGTAATCCCTCCCCTAAACGCAGAGTTTCTTTTTTATCACAGTTTTTCTTCCTTGTTGCTGTAGCCTGCTCTGTCTTAGCTACAGCTGCTCCCTTTTTCAGCCAATCATTGCTGGTAGCGTGAAACACATCACGACCGCAGCTCCAGCGTGGGAATGTCACTGCAGACACCAAATCAACAACTAGTAAACTGTAAAGAGACATATACCCGGCGCTGATTGGCCTTATCAGCGTTCTGTGAACTTGTTTGATGAGGGCTTGACTACAGCAGACATTCGTTTGTATGCACAAGTCCCACTCTGCAGATTTAACAACACTTTTTTCTTCAGAAAAATGAAGCTCACATAAGGATTTGGCATGAAAACCTTTACAGTTTTATGGATATTTCTTTCTACATGAATAATGACAGTTACCGTACTAAAATCAGGAGGTGAAAAAACTATCCAGTACAGTCACTGAGCTCAGGAAGAAACAGGAAGAGTTATTCAAGGTTTCTATGAGTCACATGGAGTTAAAAAAAAAAGTTAGTGGAACAGAAACCAGCAGAGAGGAAGTAATCCCAGGAGTGATTTTCTATGAATACTTTGTCTGCTTTCCCTCGATCTTCTCACAGTGACATCACACTCCGCTACAAAGAAACGCGTCGGCGCAAACAGGAAGTCCCCGCCGACTGGGACCGGCCTTTGGGCAACGGCAGCACAGGCACCCCATCCGGGCGGAGCAAACTGAACGGCAGCTCTGAGACGCTGCGACAGAGGAGGTCCTGAGAGGAAATCACGCCTTTGGCAGCAAGTGGAGGGGAAAGGACAAGGTTTGATGGGAGAAAAAAAAAACAAACAAACTGAGAAACATGAAGGAGAGTCGTGTCACAGAGACGTACCGAGGCAACCAGATGGACACACATGTGCCGTGTAGACTGTTCTTGTGCCTAAATGAACCAAGTAGTCGTTCAACAGAGGCAAGGGGTCGAAGGGGCAAGTTTCATTTGGTGCATTGGATTTACCTCATTCTATTTTTTAAGAACATTTGGGGAATTATACACAGGAAATGATACATTTTTTGTGTTATTAGTGCATTGTTTCGAATGTTGGGCAAAGAAGAGGGAAACTGGTGGACGGAGGGATGTAGTTGACCAATAATCACAGCTGTTTTCTCAGCTGCACGTTGTCTTAAAAAACACACAATAGACGAGCATCAGGAACATGTTCTCCCCTGTAAATACGCTTTGCTCCGTGTTGTGCAGTCACATCAGTGCAGGTTAGAGTAGGAGAAGTGTTTGGGGCAGTAACGAGTGTCTGTAGGTGTAATGACTGAGTTGCATTAGGTTTTTCATCCACTGCTATGCAATCTTTAGTATCAACCTGGGAGTATGGCCACATTATTGCCAAGCGGCTGTTAAAATTAAGCTCGTTTAACAATAATGACACATTTCTGTTCGGTTCCGTTCAAATGACAGGCATTTCTGATTCCCACGCTGTTTTGACAGTTTAAATGCGTGCAGTCCCAGGTACATGATCCATTGTTTACATGTGGGAGACAATTTGGGCTTTTCATTTACAGTTCAGGGTTCATTCCTAGAAGCCTCGCTATGATCCTCCCTCAGTCAGACACAGAGAGGACAACTGGCCAAAGCCTTTCTCTTCTCTCAGGCTTTGTTCTCGAAAAGAACGATGAGTTTGTTATGAAAAAAAATGAAAAGGAAAAAAAAAAGTCAAGATGTACCATATTCTAGTTATTTAACTGGTGATATTATACATGATGTATGGGATATAGTTTGGGTGTTTTTGTAGATGTTTTGTTATCACTATTGTTATTTCTTTAAGGTTAATCGATTGTGAACACTAGATTATGCTCAAGTTAGTTTTTGTGAAATGAGACGCTGAGCGCTCTGAGGAACACATCCACGACAATCACACTGACAGGAAGCTGTGCTCAGTTTTCCTCTGGTGGAGATATGCTGGCTCACAGTAAGAAAAAAAAGAAGGCAGAGATCTGGATGTTCCTTCACTGTAACAGCTTTATAATTACAGCTGTTATTCAGTCACATCAGAACGTGAATTTAATATTTCCTTTTATGCCAAATCTTTCTTCATTTGAAATTTCGTTAAAATGTCGCAGCGCGTGTCGACTGAACTCGCTGAAACAAAATGAGGGCCGACTTCGCGGTCAGAGGACAGAATTGAAGGTTTTGGTTTGGAGACGAAACCTCTCGAGCTCTGCGGGGTTGCCATATTGCACATGCAATCAGCCAAAGCTTAGATCTCATTCCTGCTAAAGCCATAAACACCACCCAGAACTGCTTGAGCCTCTAAAACTGCTGTCAAGCTTCATTTTTTGTATCTTTTTAATTTAAGCTGAGGTTCAGAGCCATCAGGGAAAGTCATGACTGTGTAGGATTTTTATGTTGGAAAAGATTACCTGGACATCTGATCACTGAAACCAAATTCACCAGAATAATGACAATATGCTATCTATATATTTAAAACTGTCTTAGTTTCTTTGTCACTGTGTGTAACGAAATTGCTAAATGTAAAGCTGCCATGATTAGTCAGCAGATATTTAATTAGCATGATTCAGTTTCTAAACTGTAAATCTTTGTATTTAGGACCGTTGGGTGAACACAAGAAGAAATTCCAAGATTACACATTATAAGCTTACACTCGGCATGTGTACTGTTGTTATAATAATTATCAGATTAATCTAAGAATAAAAATAATCATTATTTGCTGCCCATTTAAATGCAAAACCGGCTTCACATTGACATTGGTCGATGTCCACACTGTTACCAAAAAACCTTTTAGTGTTTGTCCTGTGGCTCAGTTGTAAATTTCTGTGTTACTCGTCGTGCCCCGGTGACTCTGTATTAAATAGTTGATGGCAAAATACACGACATCTGAGAATCTAGCTTCAAATTTTCCTGTTGTAAACTAGGCTGATGTTTAATGACGCTATAGTGAACTTCTTGTGAATGTAATCCAATAGAATCTGCAGCTCCAACCAGAGGGATCGGCCACCTGCGATTTTCATTTAGCCACAAACACTAAACTGAAGTTTGTTATTCGTGCAAATCCAGCTGTTCTCATGTTTCAACCTCTTTTTTTTCTTTTAATACAGTGATTGCTGTGCAAATTTGAAACCCTAAAAATGTTTAGCAGATATGTCACAGTTTGTTCTTGTTGCCTGTGCTGTGCTAATTCAGTCACTTGAGGACTTTGCTTTTTTTTCTCCTCCTTTCTTAAATGAGAGCTTTGTAGACGTAGGCTGGGGATCCACTGTGTACCTGTGGGCATGCCTCCGGTCGGGCAACAAGCTTTTTGTTTGAATTAACTGAAAGCTTAAACCAACCCAAGGCATGTATTTGCACATCAGCTCTGATATCTCAAGATGGAGAATTCCAAAATCAACTTGTAAATGGAACCAAATGGGAATTGGTAAAAAAAAAAAAACAAAACAAAACAACAGGACCTTTTCCTTTAGCGCGTTTGAGGGTTCAGTTTAGTTTCACGTGCAGCCACATGGGGGCGGTAGATGTTTGGTTATCTCTGCAGTCATGCATCCTCGATCATGATGACTTGCTGTAAATGCCATCTTCAACTTGGTTTGTGTAAATGTGAAAATGTTAAAGATCAGAAAAACTGAAATATGCTGCTGCACCACATAATTTTATAAAGTTTTCAATAAAATAAACCGAAAACCTGGTTTTAGCAAAGTGTGTGCTTGATTTTCAGGTGAAAAAGAGGCAGGTAGCGGTTTCTAACATAGAGTATGTGCGCTAATGCTGTTATAGTCCCTTCATATCACAGTGACAATCTGAGTGTGCAAGAATTCTTTGACCGTGTGCTCCATAGAGACAAAGGTTCATCATTTACAGTCTTATCCATCCTGGGTTAGTTGGTCGGGGTACATTTTCTGTCATGATGCAGACAGATACTCCACTGATAAGGCCAACAGGTTGGACTAGTACATCTACAGATATATATGGAGTCTTACAAAACTATGGCACCGGCTGCTTCTTTGACTCACAACACTTTGAAATTAAGTCACAAAGACTTAGGCCTTTGTTTCTTTGTTTGCATTTCCCATATCCATACACTTTATTTTGGCCAAATGTACAGTCGTCCTCAAATTTATTCATACCCTTCCATTAAAGACAAAATTCACAATAGTCACTCAAATATCTATCCATCCATTATCTATACACTGCTTAATTCTCACTAAGGTTGCGTGGGGGCTGGAGTCTATCCCAGCTGACTTAGGGTGAAGGCAGAGGACACCCTGGACAGGTCACCAGTCTATCACAGGGCTACACTTAGAGACAGACAACCAAGCACACTCACATTGCTTGTGAATTGTGGTTGAAAATATTAATTAAAAAAAAACTCACGGACAAATTAAGAGCACTTTCCTGATGAGCAGTGGGCCAAAATTAAAATACCTGTCAACAGGTGCACAAGTCTGATTGAGAGTTACAGAAAACACTTGATTGCAGTGATTGGCTCAAAGGGTTGTTCAACAAAATATTAGTCTACAGGTCCCATCATGCTTGTTTGTTGTTTTTGTTTTTTTACTCTTTCTGTTGAACCACAATTTAAAAGAAATGTCATGATTTTCATTCCATTCTTATTTAGTATTACTTTTGTCAATTTTAACTTATTTCAGTGACAGCTGTTTTTGTCCTTTAATGGGAGGGTATGAACACATTTGAGGACAACTGTATTTACTTTTTATGGAGTTACCCATCTTTGCAGTAGTACAGCAGTTTTCTCACATTACCAGCTTCGTTCCTCATCACAGAGCGGCCGCACGCTCAGGCAGCACAGGCCGCCTGCTGATGGTAGGATCACTGGTTTAATCACCTGACAGCGACCTTAAAGACACAGCTCCCAATAAGACTTCATTGTGTTTATATGTAAGAGTGAGTAAGTGGTAGTGTAAAGTGCTTCTTCTGTTCTCTGGTTGGTAATATTCCTCATTTTCTATAATGCTTCCTGTAATGTAATTGTATATTTTAGCACGTATTCATGCAACAATGTAAAATTCCTACAGGTAAGTATACCATTAAANAATGTAAAATTCCTACAGGTAAGTATACCATTAAACTTATATTAAAAAAAAAATACAATTTTGAATATTTTGTTCAAAGTAAGCAGTTCATGTGAATGTCTGGATGCCAACAACTGCTTCTAATTTTAGCAAAAGTAATTTCTTAACTACAGTCTATATAATTAATACCAAAATAGATTGTTCTGTCCAAGAGAATTTCAAGATCTTATGAAATAATCCTCAACAAACAAGGTCTGAGTGTTAAAAAAAAATAAATCTGAATATGTTGTCACACAAAATAACCCATTTCATTTTGTTTATGACAAAATATATCCATTAAGGAGTACTTTAAACCCAATAAAATTATAATTTGAGCAGTCAAGTTCCACTTTTCTTTTATTGCATAGTTTCATCCACCTTCCACTTAGTTTTCTTGTCACATATCCCTTTCCAAACACCGTAAACTGATGAGAATAAACTTGCATAGGGCAGTAAAGGGTAATAAACCCCAGGAGGAAAATGAATCTCATTGTGAGATGCATTTAATTCCTGTGGTTCATTATGAGATAAAAACTGCAGTCCTCATACACATGTGCTTGTAGTGCATTCATCAGTACAGCTAAAACTCTATCTGGACTCCCTGAAGCAGCTGGAGTGGATTCAAAGTTCCCCCCTCCCCCCCAAAGCATTGTTAGAACAGACACAAAGCAGTGCATTGGGGCAGAAGGAAGCAACGAGTGTAAAATACATCGAGTAGTACAGAAGCAAGTAAGAGGAATCATTTCATCATAACAAGAATATAAAATCTGGTGCTCTACAAAGCAACTGCTTAAAATATATTGCCTGAGAGCTCCCTCTAAAAATGTACCTCAGTCACTTTGGTATAAGATTCAAAAGATCATTCAAGCAAGCCTGATGTTTAGTGATTTTAAGGCTAAAAGGCACCGTGTGAATGTACTAAATTCAAGCTGGAATCAGATCTAACGTGCAAAATAGTGTCTGTGTGCTCAGTCTGATCCCATAAATTGGCATGTGTATGTGTCTTCCAGGGATGTCAGACAATAAGATCTCCAAGTCAATTAAAAGACATAACTATTTTCAAAGAATATTTTTAAAAATGGTGCTTTAAAGACGAAACTTTTCAATGGCTCCATCAGTAACAGCATAATTTTTAAGTAACTTAACAGGATGCTGATTAGCCAGGAGTTAACGATCCAATAGCTGCCTGTTTTTAGGGTAAAAAAACAAACAAACAAAAAAAACCCCACTCAATTTAAGAAAATATTCTGGTAAAATATAGGCCACAAAAAAATAAAAACAGAACAACAGCCTTTGTCCATGTTTCTATGATCTGACCAGTTTGAAGCCTTGCCCGGTGTCCAGTACGGCTGGTGGAAACCAGTTGAGTTTGACTCTCTTGAGACATCGCAGACAGACGCTGCAGATCCACAGCAGGTTCAGGCTGCCGCACCACAGCGCCAACTGGACCACCGGGTAGGTCATCCGTGGGAAGTACATGCTCCAGTGACTGGTGACATCACTTCCTGTAGGCAGATGCAGCGTGTAGTCGCCCCAGTGTTTGGAGATGCCATAGCTGGCAGACACCGGCCTGCCCCTCTCTGACCACTGAATGTCGCTGTTTGAGTTGCAGTTATACTCCACCCACTGACAGGTGAAGTCTCCGAGCTGTGGAGGGTCCTGCAGCTCGACGTCCGTCACTCTGGAGAGCGTTGCTCCCTGCACTGCCACAATCAGGCCCTCCACCTTCCTAACCTCCTTCACCCAAGGCAACGAGTTGTCACAGTCCAGAACCAGGATGAGGCGTGAACAGAAGCCGCCGTTCTTCTCCCTCCACCAGTCCAAGATCTGGTCCAGACGAAGAGTGTCTCCTCCTGATTAACACAGAATCCAAGTGATTACAGATCAAACGAAACAAATGACCCTCCAGGATTCTCAGTTTGCAGAATATACTACTGACAGAGAGAAACAATCATTTTACGATTAACTGTGCAGCCCTAACATCTAATTATATCACTATTAAAATGTTTACCTGCTAGCGCCCACTCTCCTGTCCGGTGTGTGTGACCGCTGTAGAAGATGATGTAGGTGTCGTGGCGAGGCCCGTCTGCTGTGCGGAGCTCCAAGAAGGATTTCATCTTGGCCTGCAGAGCCTCCAGAGTCACCCCGCTGGTGGAGTAGTCGCATCCAAAAGTCTCGATGAGGTGGTGGGCGAAGAAACGTTGCACATTGTTCAACATACCTGTAGAGCGCCTGTTCAGTTCATGCACCTGGTCCGGAGGCAGCAGCATGGGCTGGCCATCAGGACTACAGGATGAACACAAAGAAAACAGAGGACAATGAAGAAAGCCATGTGTATGAAGACTGTAATTGTATCAATTCATACTCCGTCAAAGGAAACTATGACTGATATTGTAGGGCCTCAAAGTACAAACTGACTAGACGGTGTTTATAACTTCTACCAATACTTAATAAACCCACACAAGTGCAATGGTTCCACTTTTGCACTACCTGCAGTAGTTGGTGGGGATGACCACCGCATAGCCCACACAGGTTCCTCCCAGGCTGCTCCCGAGCTCGTGGAAGAGTCCGTGGAAAAGAGACTCCAGGGGAAGAATGAGCAGGAACATGCTCACAAAGATACTGCTGTAGGCCTACAGAGCAAATTCACAAGAGTCAGAGAAATACTAAGACATGAAAAGGAATCTGGTGGAAAGAATCATGAGTGTGAGTGGGTATGATTAGTCAATTCAAGCTTTTGATTTTTCTCTCTGTGTGGAGTTTGCATGTTCTCCCCGTGCAGCGTGGGTTCTCTCCGGGTTCTCTGGCTTCCTCCCACACAGTCCAAAAACATGTTGAGGTTAATTGATGATTCTAAATTGTCTGTAGATGTGAATGTGAGTGTGCTTGGTTGTCTGTCTCTAAGTGTAGCCCTGTGATGGACTGGCGAGCTGTCCAGGGTGTCACCTGCCTTCACCCTAAGTCAGCTGGGATAGACTCCAGCCCCCCCATCACCCTAGTGAGGATTAAGCGGTGTATCGATGATGGACGGATGGATGCTGCACATGGCATGATAGAAATACAACTTATTGTGCTTTGACCTGACACACCTGTCACATATTCAGGTGTACAGATTCTTGTTTATTTTTTTGATATTTTTGTAGTTGTAATAAGACTGTGCCACTACAGCAAAGTAAAACACATACATGTAAACTGTAATATAAGTATATCTGCCTACCTGCCAACAAAAAGCAGCAACAGCCACAGTCGACACCAGCGTGAAGAGCACCAGGCGTTCAGAGATGAGGCAGAAATGTCTCATTCCCTTTGAGGCCATGACCTTGTCCAGGTTGTTGACCTCTGACCCCTGGGACAAACACAACCTCTGGCAGTCGCTGAGTTTGGTGTGAAAGCCCCACACAGTGATAACAAACACCATGTGACAAATGGCCCAGAAGAGCACGCACACCACAAAGCCTGGGATCGTAACGTACCACTGGCCCAGCTCTGAGAGCTTCCGAGCACCCAGGACGATGAAGATCACCTCCACCACCAGCAGAGGCAGGAGGGACAGTCGGCGCCAGAAGCCCCTCCACAGCAGGAAAGGCTGCCAGCGCTCGGTCACAGACAGCCCGCTGAAGTAGACGTCCAGCAGAGGGTCGCAGATGAGCTGGCTGAAGAAGCAGGCGAGAGCGAAAGGGTTGGTGGTGATGCTCAGGGATCTGAAGAACAGCAGGGCGGTGATGACGGCGAAGCAGAGCAGGTTGGGGAGAGCCAGGAGAGCCTTCATCCGGAGGGCAACCATGACCGTGCCCAGCGCCACCACCAGCACCATCACGCTCAGGGACTCCTGGATGAGCAGCACCGTGCTGGCGGTGGCGAACCCAGCCAGCTCCAGCCGCTCCGCCGAGGTGAGGAAGGCGGGCCGGTACCGGGTACATCCGAACAGCCGCTCCAGCAGCGCCCACAGCGTCCTCAGGACCACGCTGGCCAGCAGCAGGTAGTTGGCCGCCTCCTCCTTCACGTCCGTCTCCAGTCTGTGTTTGTTGATGAAGCAGAGCAGACCCAGCAGGAAGCCGAACCACAGGTGGAGGAGGCTGAGGCTCAGCCGCTCCATGCTGAAGTAGTAGTACAGTATACTGGCTATTCCGAGGACGAACAGGGCCAGGACGAAAATGACCAGCAGAGTGGACTCCGAAGTCTTCTCCCAGCGGGCATACAGACCCAGACACAGGGCGACCAGCAGGTTCAGACCGGACAGGTAGCCCAGCCACCGGACAGACGACCACATGCTCACCTCCCCGTTGACCTCATCCAGCCGGGTCATGGCTGCGTGAAGGCAGTGGCTGACACAGTAGCGTAAAAAGCGACACATTCTGATATGAAAGACTAACTGTCCAAACCAGAAACAGGCACTTTAACGAGACAGACCCGGTCTGTGGTCCGTTATGACATCTGAAGCCCCGCGCTGAGTTCAGCAGCGAGCTAACTTGTTGAAAGTAGCTAGCTTAGCAACCGTTAGCTGTCAGCGCCGCGTCTTTGCGCCGGTTAGCACTCGTAGACTTTTACATCCTGAAGGTCGTTGTTTGTATTCTTTCATCTGCTGTCCGGTGCGGGTTTGGAAAGCTGCAGATGTAGTGCTCTGGAGGCGGCTCTCAGGAATGTGACAGACATATCAGTTCAAAAAGTTTGTCACGTCAAAACTTTCGAGTCAGATGACAGCCGCCATGATTCTGCGTCTCCTACGGCAAGCGCTCAGAGTCAAAGTTAAAGCACCGCGTTAAAGGCATGGACGTACAGTCGTCTCAAATGTATTCATACCCTTCCATGGAAGAAAATACAAAATTCACAAAAGTCACTCAAATTACTAGAAACTGAAAAAAGTAATAATAAATAAAAATTTGCTAAATCATAATTTAGTGAAAAAAGAGATTGCTTTTGAATTGTGGGTGAAAAGAATCATTAAAAAAAAAAAAAAAACGGGTCCCTTCATGCTTGTTTTTTTTGTTTACGTTTTGTTTTTAAATATTTCTGTTGAACCAAAATTCAAAAGCAATGTCACAATTTTCATAAATGTTTTATTTATTATTACTTTTGTCAATTTCAGCTTATTTCAGTGACAGCTGTTTTTTTCCTTCTTTAATAGGAGGATATGAATACATTTGAGGATGACTGTGCACTAATAGGCTCACTCCTTGTTTGTGATTTAAAGTTTTCAGATGTTTCCTCACAAGTTTTTAAGCTTTAAGATATACATTTAGAATGACTAAAGGTAGAACTCCAAGTGAAGCCTTCCTTCTTATTATTATTTTTTAAATCTTTTCCTCACATGTCAACATAATTTCTATTGGTCAACAACTTTTACATTTTAATGTTTGGGTTACAACTCCATGGGATTAGTGCTCTTTGCTTGTTTCAGATTTAGGGAGTCTCAGGCAAAGTTATTTTGTCCAACTGCAACGCTAATTCTGGCCACTAAGTGTACGCAAAAGGGTATCCGGATGATATCTAGAGGATGAAAAACGCTGAGCTCAGAGTCTATCCAACACTTTCCTGAGAGAAAAAGAAAGTTTAGAAATGTAGAATTTGTACTTTTCCCATATTTGTTTTAGATTTTACCTTTACTTACTTTTGTTTTCCAGTAAGGCAGAAATATTAGAGTATCAGTAAAAGACTAGAAGTACCCTATAAAATACAGATCATGTTTGATCATGCTACTACTATATTACTCCTGAGTCAAACCCCTTCATAACAGCATAAGTTGTGCACAATATTTTCCAGTATTCAAAAGTAAAAACACACAACACACGTAAAAAAATGCACACAAACATCTTACATTTACATTCATTTATAAAAGAGAAATACAACCATACTATAAGCACACATTGTTCTGCATTGTTGAAAATGTTGATAATGAAGATGAACCATCTCATGCAAATGGGCCAAAAAGAAACACTGGAAGACAAATCACAAAACACGCTTCTTCAAAGTCTGAATATGTGTGATGCTGTGAAATGTTTGTTGTTGTTGTTGTTTTTTTTTCTCTCTGTAAAAACAAAATATCAGCAAAGAGATGTGCATTAACTGGAAAATGATATGGAAATGGTAACAACACACTGCATTACACCAACACTGGAAATGTTTCTTGTTCCATTAATATGACAAAGAAGAACTGGACAGTTTAACATTTGGCCCAAGAAGATTGATATCCGTTTATTAAAAAGGTGAGGAATTTAATTATCTCTTGGGGCAAGAAAGCCTGTTTGCAACATAAATATGAACAAAGAAGGCACCTTATACTTATTGGTATTACCTTATGGGCCCATCACACTGGATGTAAAACTGGGGGGAAAAAAATTACATTTTGTGACACCATTTGGGATCAATGATAAAGTGCCACTGGAAAAAAAAAAAGCATAAACATATACTCACTCCTTCATTCACACTGACAAACCCAACTACATCCACACACTTAGCCTGTTCAGAGACCGGCAGAACACACACTAACATTTCACCTGGTAGTGTCTTCAGCTAAAAACCTCCCCTTCCAGCATACAGTATCTTCAAATCGGGCTTCGCTTGCTGCTAAAAATCTACAGCGTTTCACCTGTTTCAGAGGTTCCCTATGACAAAACAGTAAATTAGTGCAAATTTCTTCTGTCAAGGAGAATTTTCTGACTGTGAGGAGCTTAGATCTGGATCTATTTGGAGGCAAAGTATTTATTGTATTTTCACATCAAAGTTATAAAATTGTGTCAAGGGATACTGGTGCTGTAAAGTCCATTTAATGTGTCACTGACTCGCAGTGGTGTACTAGTTCTCTGCTCGAGAACAAAAAGAATGTATCGGAAATCTATCAGGAGATCATTCAGAATTAATATCTGCGTGGACAACGAGAGGATGACAAAAGTGTAATACCTATTTTGCACTCGTACCTTGTTACACAATGAGTAAACACATTTTCACATTAGTAAACCTAGTAATACTCCTACTGTATGGTTCTGAAAATGTTTAAAATGCTACAAATACCACTTTCTTGTAAAAGATACACAATTCATTCAGATGATGCCAAGTTAAAATGGCATTGCCACACTTTACACTGGACAACACCAATGTTTTGACTGAGAATATATATTTCAAAACAATGAACTTCTTTTTTTGTCTTGGAAAACTAAATGCACATCAAGATTTTATTTTTTTTTTCCAGAAAGTCTAGCTGCATGACTGTGACAGAAGCAAGCGTACCAGTCCACTCATTCCATCTCAGTCTCTCCAGTGCAATCAAACTCCTGTCAGACTGCTCGGGTTGCTGTATTTGGCTTTTGTACTAAGCAGCCTGCGACACTAGCTTATTCAAACAGAGACTGAGTATAGAACGTAGACAAGCTGACTTTTGTTATTGAGAGCTGATTGAAAGATGGGGTGGAAATCAAGGAGCAGGGAGTTCAGATATCTTAAGGGCATTCAATTTCCAACTCTTAAAAAACCTAGCTATTTATCAAAATATATCCATCTTAGTGTGTGCGTGTGTGTATGTGTGTATACGTGGTGCATGTATATATGTGTGTGTGTGTGTGCTCGTGTGTGTGTGTGTGTGTGCTCTTAGAGGAGCGTAGATATGAGAAAATAATCTGTAAACTTCTCTCTTTCACACTGTGCAAACTGCATTGTTTTGAGTAGAGGGAGGAGAAGTGGGAGAAGAATGCAGCAGGTTAAATTTGGCAGCGCAGCAGTTGAAGGGGAGGTGACAGTTAGGTAGAGAACAGGGGAGGGGGAGGTTGCTGGTTTAGCCTAGCTCTGAAGCAGAATGGGATCCTCTAGCTCATGAAAGCCAGGCACAGAGCTGCTCTGGCTCTCCCCAGAATCTGAATCATAGGGTGTGTCCGGTAGCTCCGTGAAGCCCCAAGCCAGCTGGTCATCCTCAAACTCGGAGCGCACTTGCACCGGCACGTCGGCACAGTCTTCCTCCTCATTGGAGTTAAAGTCCTGAGGGATGTAGAGCATCTCGGGGTAATTGCGTGACACCAGGTCGCTGGTGGTGGCCAGAGACACCTTACGGAAGGCGATGAGATGCATGTGGGAATATTTGATATATTTGTAGCGCTTGAAGCCCAGCGACTCCACTGCGACACGCCAGCTACGCATCATGAGGGCGTGGCGGTTTTGGTGGGAGGAGTCGGGCGTGATGATGAGCAGCAGGCCGTGCAGCTCCAGCAGCTCGTGGGCCTTCTTGCAGCAGATCCAGCGCTGGTATGGAGAGGGGAAGTAGGAGAGGAGCAGGGAGAAGACCACCACGTGGAAAAGCTGAGCGGGCAGAGCATCGATGGGGTTGTGGAGGTGGCGGAGGAAGGCTTCTACAGCGTCATCTGCTAGCTGCAGAGGCTGCTGGAGCTGAAGGTTAAGGAAGTCACACTTGTAGACACTCTGAAAAGGAAATTCAGATGTCACAGTTCAAATGGGACCTTCTTTAACAACGAACATCGTCATGCTGCTTATTTAGTTTCATTATTTGCAGCTGCAGAATGCAAAGTGCTATTTCTTTTTTTTTTCTTGTTTTCTACAGAAGTTTTTCCTCACACACTGTCTAACCACAACACTGACACCCTTCATGACCCACTTCTCATGTTGTTTTTGCTTTGTAATGCAAGCTCTCAGCACCCGGGCAGGAAAACCTCATGCACTTCACTTGTATCAACAAGGATTTAAGAACACATTGTCAACAAAACAAATTGAATAAGCACTCCTACCTCAACTGCAGGCACTATGTCAATACCAACTGTAAGGAATTCATCAAACTTCAAGAAAGGGTTGAAGCAGCTTCCCACGTCAAGAAGGCGCATTTTCCCCAGCTGAGAGATCGAACTGCAACACGAAGGTGGGAGAAGTGTCAATGTCTGTAGTTTAACACCAAACCAAAAAGTCATACGTGAGGATGAATGTCGGCAGTGTATCATGCACAATTACTACTAAATGCAGGCAGCTGATATGCATGTCATACTAAGCCTTAAAAAACATGCAGCAAATATCACTTTTATCCGCTAACAGAAAAATACAAACACAGAGGTAATGTTGCTTTTCTACATTGACTGCTCATGAAGTTTGATATTGACGTCCCTATGTTTCAGTGGCCTGCTTCACCACCTCTGAGGTGAGATTTCTGTTTGTATTCATCTAAAAATTTTGTTGGTGGTATTTTAAACACATAAAGGTATTTAAGATAACTTTTCTCCTTCTGTTCACATTGCAATTACTAAATATTTCCATGCTAACTCGGTGAAACAGGGATGCTCTTCAGTCGGGGTACACAATGATACTGGCATCATCATCAGTACCAGTTAAGGCTAAACAACTATTTGATTTTAAATCTATTTGAAACAAGTAGCAAATTCCAAAGTCTTCAATTCTGGATATACATTATGCAGTGTGTCTGATCAAGGGTTTAACATGTCATGTCAGGGGTTCAACAAATTCATGCTATCCTTGTATTACAGTCAATCTTGACTTAAAAAAATTAGCAAAGCGAATTGCAAACATAATATCTGTCAGAATCACAATTATACATTTTCCCAAACTGTCAGCGCCATTATTGGCTAATAAACGCTTTAAGGTGAAATGTTGCATTAGCCCAGTTGAAAGTTAAGTTTAAAAAATGTTACATGAAAACAAATAAGGCATGTTTTACATGTAAGGTGACATAGTTATCTTATTTCTTCAGTGAAAGTGCACATTAGAAAAACACTGTATTTTATTTCTACACCTGCCAGCGAGCTATCACAATAAGAGATGGCATAATAACATGTTATTTCTCTACAGGAGGGACCTGATGTGCTCTGCAATTAGGCAGAAAAAATAGGTGCAAATAATAGTATCGGCATCAGTCAAAATGAACAGGAAAAATTGGCATATCAGCAAAAACCTATTATTACGGATCTCTACTCTTCAGGTCAAACTATATAATTAGAATCCTTAGCAGTAACAATTTAATAATCTAATTTAAGTGAGTTCATTTGCACATTGTGTGTAATTTACTGTCGACTGTGGGAGACACTATTAGGAACTCTGCAGGCAATGTGAAAGTCCTTCTGCAAATGGTTATTCAGTTCGATTTCAAATTATGTATCAAATATATCTAAGTGTGAAGTAATTCTGTAGGAGTGTCAATAAATGTTTATTCTGTAAACAATCTTGTCTGGCTGAAAAGTCTAATCCAGCACTAGTCAGTATTTAGCTGCTCTAAAGTTCACAGTTTTCACTGTGTCCATATAAAAGTAAATTTTAAGTGGGTTTGGTAGAAGGATGCTGTGTTTAAATATCTAGAAATGCATGCACAGTAAACTACAGATGCACTACTTTAAGGAAAATGATAAAACATCTCCCAAAACAAAAATCTAAGCAGTAAATATTTAAGACATTTGCTTTCTTTTTGTGAGGTTTATTTGGTAGTGAAATTACAAGGTTACAGTTTTTCAGTGTGTCAGAATATTGTGTGTTACTATAAAATGTAAAGTAAAAATAAACAAAATATTCCATAAAGGTGGTTTATGGTGCATACTTTGTACAGTCAGTATGTAGCATGAAATTGGGACATAGATTTTATGATGTACTGTGCATCTATGACAGAAAACGTTGTTACTTCAGCTTACCTGGGGATGGTGCTGTACGGTTGGGCACTTACAGATGCTGCAGTCAGACCCATGGCAAGTGTGGCACTTTTCTCATCCTTTTCTAACATTCTTTTCATTCCACCGTCCAGAAAATATTCTTGACAGACACTGTGGAAGTGAAATTTAAAATACTGCTTGAGCCTTAATAGGAAAGTGTCAGAGAAACGCAACCTAAAAGGTGCAGATTACAGATCTCACCATAATGGGCTCTAAAATTAAAGCTGAAAGACATTTAAACAGATTTAGAATCACCTGCGACACCATTCGATGCGGCCCTCTCCTTCGCAGTTTTTGGTCCAGTGGTTGTCAGCAAGATTCTTCATGGCAAGGGCGTACTCACTCAGCGTCTGCTCATCCTCACAGTGTTCACGCCAGATCTTGTCAAAATCACCCACTAAAAAAAAAAAAAAATAAAAAAATCAGGACAGAACTCAAAAACTAATCATCCCTCACAACTTAAAGGAATCAATTCAGACTTTTAGTGGAAGCTTAAGCAATTCATATTCTGCTGATGTCACATTTTTTTCTTCTTTTAGTCTGACACGTCTATTCAAAGCAAGAAGCAAACATTCACAACCTACTTGCCAGCTACGGTCGTCCACCTCACCACTGAAACATGACTGTGCTTCTTAGAAAAAGCTGCTCCAAAAGCTCAGACAACTGCTGCTGGTGCTTCAGCATAGCCTACATGTTTACTGGTCTCTGCCAGCACAGAAGCAGAACAGAGAAAAAAAAAATCTACTTCAAAAAGTAATTTCACAATAATAAGAATATCCACAAAAATTCCCGTTCGCACAACTTCACAGCTGCTAAGAACTTGATAGCTTGTGGCATAAGCAAACAACCTGATACGGGGAGAAATCCCATGACCAGAAGGAAAAACTCTATATCTGATTTGCAGAAATGAAAGGGCAACAAGAGGAGTGGTGGTGGTAAACAGCAGCGCTCTGAAAGCATGACCACTGTGATTCAATGCCAAGCCTACCAGATCATGCTTTACTTATTAACCAATCAGGAGGTTTGCTCACAGGACAACTTCTTTGTGCTATTCTAGTCTCCAAAACAACCAACTACTCTCTCCTATGCTGAATATTTCCAGACTTATATGCGCCTTATTCAAAACATAACCTGATCTAAGCTTATTTTAAAACAGTCTACATGGTTATGTAATGTCTTATGGTGGGAAAGTAGGACAGAGCATACACAAATAACAGCAAAACCTGACCTCTTTATGCGTTGCTTACTGCACAACTCATACCAGAGACGGTGGCCATATTTTTGCTACAGTACAAGATTAAGTGTTTTAAAACTTTTTAAGTGCTCAGTGTTTTTTTCTTTCTGCTATCTAATTTCAGATTTGGAATCAGTGAAATGCTCAAATGTGTGGTTTTGATTCAGAGGCAGTCAGCTGAAACCGACCAGCCAGGCATTCAAGCAGGGGACAACCTAATTTATGATATTTGTGGCTTCTATGCTTGAAAATCCAAGTAAATCCTTCAGCCTCCCTGCTGTGCTCTTGTTTTGCAACAGTTACAAGATGACTATAACCTCGTTTTATTTTCTCAAGACACCGATTTTTCACCAGTCATTTTGAATTTGTCTGTTTGTGTTGCCCTCCTACACAGTCTCCAGAAAGACTACGCATTTCCTCAGAAAGAGCAAATGAGCGCGAGTGCAACAGCAACAGCAGCACAAAGCCGTGCACTGGTCGGCATGGTAGCAAGGTTTTAAACCCAGGGCACTTGAAACTGCAGTCTTCAACTGCAAAACTCGCGTGGAGCAAACCCTGCTGACAGCGCCGCAAAGTGAAATGTCTTTAAGCACTCTAACACGTAAACATCATACATCAGCGCTGAGGGTTTTTCCAAACTTCCCATTTCATATCAGCAAGGCAGAGGTTTTCGTTCTCAGGACAGACAGCTGCCAGTGAAATGAATCCTGATGCAATCTTTGCTGTTGTTTCAGTCCCTCCAACACAAAAAACACGTAAGCTGCATTCAGTTTAAGTGTCTGCATCATGAAGCATCGAATACAGTTTTGCTAACTTCAAAACCTGAAAACTGTTGGTGGCTTGTTCTGTTGAATGCAGACAAAGGGGATCTACACCCCATATCAACCTAAACATTTTGTTAACAAAAAAAAAAATCACAGTTGCCGTATTGTACAGTTGCCTTATCAACCCTTCCTTGTAAGTTGTCATGTTTTTCTTGTACTTCCCCAAATTGCAAAACCAAAAGAAGATTCAGCCGATGTTATGCAAAGTGCTGGTGTGGACCCTAATTTTAGACCAATAAATGGGGATCATTTCCCTAAAAGTAGAAGATTTAAAACGTCCACTTGCCTCTCAATGGATGGTGGCTAAAATGGCTCTCGTGTGCGAACTCTTTGCTAACTTGATGCCAAACTTCACGACATACTATGAATTAGAGAAAAAAAGAGAGCAGGAAGCAGCAGCAGATTGGGTTTCATTCACCTATCGTGCACATTCTTGTACTATATATTTTATGGCAAAAAGTCAGAATGAATCCCTTTTGTTTTAATTTCACATAAAGGTTCATTCTCTACCTTAGTTTTCACAATAGCAGATCTTCCTCAATCATCATATCCTTCCCTGCAGTTTGACACATAATCAGCTCCTGTGTTTAGATTTATTCACAAAAGTTCTGGCCTCATATCTTCAATCAAACTCTGCGCTTGTTGTCTGCAAAAATCTGCATCAGTGGATTTGTGGTGTACTTTTTTCACAGTAGCAGGTGTGAGAAATCTTACGTCTCCTTCTGCATGACACCAACACTCAGTAATAAAAATTAATCTGGTTGTAGAAGTTGCAACAAATGTTTGCTCAGTCCACAGAGTTATCTTTTATTGACAACAGAGAGGCAATAGAAAGTCATTCATTGTCAAGATAGGCTCTCTCATCAGTAACCTATTAATGTCTGGGCTGAGAAGAGAGATGATACATATTTACAGAGGAGACTCCTGTAAACTGTCACCAACACAGTTTCCTTGTGTGTGATGTTATGGAGCTTTAAAGGCCTTCCATGCTGAATGCAACCCTCACTGCTGTCGGCTGCCACCACAACAGCTAACCAGCTTAACAACCCGTTAGCTCGGAGGGGTAACGTAAGCGAGCACAATTAGCCGTCTGTACTTGGTTATTTGTTGACGGAAAATGTAGGATTTATCGTAAATAAGGTACTGGTGAGCTAACGTCCAGTGTTAGCTGCTCGGCTGCAGGGCCACAGAGAGACACAGGGGCCCAGTGAGGCTGCTTACCCTCCCTGTATTTCCTGCGCAGTTTTCTGTGGACGTTTTTGACGACCCCTGACAGCTTCTCCTGCTCCTTCTTGAACGGCGCCTCGTCCGGAATCGGCACGTAGAACAGCTCCGGGTGGTTTTCCGTCTCCCCTGTCTCGACATTGTCCCTAGGGTCCATAGCACCGCACCGCCGATGCTGCCTCTGCCAGTTGTTCCCCTTTTCCAAGCTGCAACCCGACCGGCGAACCGGTGCACCGGCCAACAACACGCAAGCCGATTGGCCGCCGTTGACAGACAAGCCTCAGAACTGACAGCGCTTCGTCCAATCACAGGCCAGAAAAGGCTGCCCGAGAGAGCGTGCGTGCCGCGACGCGTTTAGGTACATCTGTAAATCCCACCATTTCTACAGTCATCTTGAATAACATCACAGAAAATATAGGTCAGTAATATATTTCGATCTCTATATCCTCTGTTGAAACAGCTGATTGTAATTAAAATTGCAATCTTTTGTTTTTCAAGTAATTCTGTAATAATGAATGCATAGTTTTAACCACAACTTAAAATAATCATTCATTTCCTTAAACAACCATTTCACAGGCCTATGATAAATAGTGCTAATGTAACCCTCTCAATATGCATGATTCAACACAGTCACACCACAAACCACAAAAGTTATCATTTATTTCTTCCACTTGCAAAATAGTCCAGTTTAAAAGTATGTTCATACAAGCCTTCAGCACAACCTGCAGTGATTTGGCAGCGATTCAACAACACAGCGAAGAAGTTTGGCTAACTGCCTCAGCAAGTGAGGTAATCTGATTAGGCTTAGAAATGGGATGCAGTCTGCCCAAAAGATTTCAGAGAGTGTGACTGGACGTGATGTTTTGTCCTGTTCAGGAGAAATAGTGTGAGGCGAGGCATCTGGAAGGCTTAGATAAATAGCATTGTGATTAATGTGACTTTCAAGCAGATTATTCAGTGGCATTAGATATTGTGAACCCTTTGAAATGAGAATGCAAACTTCTTCAAAACAGGCTGAGAATTTAAAAGCCTGTAGATTTAATATCAGTCAGAGATTTATTTTTTTATTTTTCCCTGGAAAATGCTCTGGGAGAGCTTGATGGAGAGCATTTCAATGTGGTTTGGTAACCTGACTGCGGTTAATAAAAACAATCTATCGTTGTCAAGACAGCTGGGAGAAATGTGGCCTGCCAAGAAAAACACTGCTGCTTACAGGAAAGCTCTGCTATTATTAACTACATATCTAATAATTTCAGAATCTGAGGTAATGCATTCTGGAAAGCACTGAAGAACACAGAGGAAAGATATAGAAGAAATTCTTTTCACGAAATAGGCAATACAATGATCAAATAGCTACAAAACATCCCCATACTGAAGAAAAAAAACATCTTCCATAATTGGTGGTTTATAATTTGTAATCCCTGTATTTTTTTTTCCTGGTCACACAAAGATTAAATCCTGACTCTGGTGGAAAAATAAAGGTTTTTAGTCTTATCTTACAGCACACATGGGTAGGAGAATCCATTATTATCCATTATAATAATTTTAAATGTGGTTAAAATGTTATTTTTTATTTCTGTGTCTCAGACTTGGCTTTGACTAGTTGTGCGTATAGTGCCACCCAATGTTTTGTGGATCCCACATTTACAAAGACTGTGCTCTAATGTACTTTTCCTTGGTTGGCTGACAGTGTAAATATCTTAGATCATGTATGTCTGTTAAAAAGCCTTAGATGACAGAACTGATTATAAATGGGTTTAGTTACTGTGAGTGTAAAAATTTGAAAAATTGGAACTGTGAATGGGCTGCAAGGTGGAGCGGTGGTTAGCACTGTTGCCTCACAGCTAGAAGGTCACTGGTTCGCTTCCCAGTGAGGACATCCGCGATCTTTCTCCCCGTGCAGCGTGGGTTCTCTTCGGCTTCTCCGGCTTCCTCCCACTTGTCCAAAAACATGTTGAGCTTAATTGGTGATTCTAAATTGTCCGTAGGTGTGAATGTGAGTGTGCTTGGTTGTCTGTCTCTAAGTGCAGCCCTGTGATAGACTGGTGACCTGTCCAGGGTGTCCCCTGCCTTCACCCTTAGTCAGTCTGGATAGGCTCCAGCCCCTCGCGACCCTAGTGAGGATTAAGCGGTGTATAGATGATGGATGGATGGATGGAACCGTGAATGAATTCACAGTTTTTACACTGCTTTTGTCCTGATTTGAAGTTGTTTACAGTGGAACACACAGACATCTGTAGTTGTATTTAAAACCTTGGTATCCAAACTGAAGTTATAAACTCTTTTAGACCCCCAGACAGTATGTAACTATTTCCCTCTCCCAAAATAACACATAGCACATGATTGCTGCTGCGCTGTTCATTAAGCCTGCTGGATGCACTGTGATACTGTGTGGAGGAATATAAATACAATCTTAGCAGAAAACCCTGCTAGCTTTAGTAAATATTGTCTTGTATGATCATGTGCAAGCTTATGTAAATGCTCAGGTAGTAAACTGGAAAACAGATAAGATAATCCTACTAAATTATTCTTCATTTCATTGCAGTTTGCATGATTTTATTGTGTTAATTTGAATTTACACTTGCTTATGAAGTTATATTGTGCAATATATTGTGTGGTTTGGGCATACATCATTCATCTTACGTGTTGTCTGTGTAGATTCCCAGTCATCGAGGTCATGGTAATCCTAGGATCTTCTGTGAAAAAGCAGCTGGACTCGTCTTTTTACTTCTTGAAGACATTTCACCTCTCTACCAAGAGGCTTCTTCAGGTCTGAAGAGGAGTCTAGTTCCTTTTTAATTAGCTCTTGGAGAACTTTACATGTTAATATTTCATTGAATAAACATTTAATGTCTCGTATGCTTATACTTGTAAAAGTAGTACTACAATTTCTTAAAAAATACTTCCTTCCTTTAAACATTGATCCCCATTCTCACAACACATTTGATTTATCGCTGCTCTCGAGTAATAAAACACCTAGAAAGAGGTCAGACTGGCATCTGTTTGTGTGGCAATGAAGACAGCTGGCTGGCTGCAGTTGCAGAAGCTGTTTAACACGGCAGTCATTAGAATATGAGTCCAACAGGTGTAGGGTGCAGCCAGCACGCTCTGATGATAGCATAACAACATAAGCTCCACCTGCACAAGCTAATAAAGATTAATTACTATTGCTCTTATGAGGTCTGGCGTGAGGGCAACACTTATCACATCAGGTCACATAGCAGGTTGATATCATGTTTAAAAGTGAACAAATCCCATACACATATTTACAAAAGACGTGTTACAGAATGTCAGACATGATAGTCCTATTTAAAACACCCCGTTTTAAATAGGACTATCAGAGGACCAGGATGGGCTGTACCAACTAACATCAAGTAATAGAATTCTAGTTTAAAAAAAGATGTTTGTCAAAAACAAAAAGTTGAACTTCAACCATCTCTAAAGGCTAATATTGGATTGTGTACAATAAGAAGTGTAGGGGTAGTGAAAGGGCAATAATTTTCATTGCACAAACTGCCTGACTTGTGGAAAATGTTATTGTGTTTCTTTTCAAAATAGAGTGGTAATCCTCACAGTGGATTGCCCTGGAGCCTCCTGGCGACTTCATTACTGCAGCTGTGTTCAGCTCACACAGCTAAAAGCCAAAGTTGAAAACAGAGAGCAGGAAGTACGTGCTATAGCTACAAGTGACTCGATCTCACTCCGTGTTCATTGATTCTGAGACAAAAATACTCACCTGCTTTGGAAGCTGTTTAAGAGCAGACTAGGTTCACTGTTGTGGGCGGTCACTAAAGTATGTCACAAGTGAACACTTCTCTCAAGGGTTGATCTTTATTTGGACCAGCAACATCTTAAAAAGAGACCTGGCAATTTTGACTAGGGAGAGGAAAGAGCAAATGAGTGAAATGTGCTTTTTTTTTTGTGCTTCTGTGGTCCATCTCAGGAGCTGTTTGTTAAAAATGATTTTAAGGCTGTTTAGTAAAAGCAGCAAACACAAGTGGATACTTCTGTTAGTCAGCTTGATGCCAAACATATTTTAGAACTGATAACATGGTGATAACAAGATAGTTGATTTGATCAGAATGCAGCCCGAGATAAAATAAACATTTCGACACACCAGAAACACAAATAAGAATTCAAAACAGTCATAATCTGGTTTCTGTGTTCTTGCAGAGTTTCAGTGTATGACCACAGACCACTGACAACATTCGTCTTTTTTTTTTCTAGAGCACCAGTTACCTGACATTAACCTGCAGAGTGAGAATGGGAAAATACAGTGTGAGTTAACTCTAACTTTATTTGTATTTATTCATTTGTATGTGATTCAATGCCAGCATGGTCCAATTTACTACAGGAAAACACCATAATGTGCACAACATCAATCTGTTTCTCTCAAGAAAAGATAAAATCTGCTCTGTACCTACAAAAAGTATTCAACTCCCCTTTGACGTGTTCCCCTTTAATTGTTTTTCGACAGTGAATCTTGGCCTTTTATGACAAGAAAGTATGTGTCAGTTTATGTCTCCTTATGTGTCTCAAGTAACTGTAATATAACGACATCTCTATCTGGAAACTGAATCATGACTACACTGTGAAGACAAAAGAACATGTCAAGCACCTCCAAACAAAGGTGGTTGAAAAATATAAATTAAGAGATGGAAACAATAAGAAAACCTGGCAAACACCATAGGAATGTGGCGTATTTGTAAATCTGCCTCAAGCAGGTCATCTTTAAAAACTGAGTGACTATGCGAGGAAGAGATCAATGAGGGAGGCCACCAAGACACCAATGACTCCTCTGAAGAAGTTACAAGTTTCAGCAGCTGAGATGGGAGAGGCTGTGAATACAACAACTGTTGCCTGTTCTTCACCAAAGTTCATGGGAGCGTGGTAAAGAGAAAGCCCATCTGATTGAGATCTGTCCACACAGGCTTAATGCATCAACTGCAGCCAAATGTGCATCTACTTAACGACTGACTTGAAGAGTGTGAATACTTATACAATCACTTATTTGATGTTTTATATTTTTCATTCATTGGCATTACTTTGTCTGTTTTCACTTTAAACAAAATAGTCATTTTTGGGAATTGCTGTTTCCAGGGGTCTGAATACTTTAAATTGCCGCCGTATATGAAGTTAATTTATTTAATATATGCAACACATATCGTTGTCATAATCTGCTCCATTTGTTTTTTGCTCTGAGCTGGCTGCTGTTGTTAGTGCACAATTAGTACAGAAAGCAGTAGAATGAAAACAGACCCACTGAATTATTTTTCAGTTGTATAATTTATTATTTTTATTGTTATGAAAACTAAATGTGCCATACACAAATACTATGGTTGCAGACATACACACAGCACACTGGTAAGTGTTATTTACACCTCATAAAGCATTAGTGCTCTGCAGAGCTGATCAGTGTGAGCAATGTTCCACAACCTGTTGACTGAGGTGACAAGTTTTATATACAGGAAAGCATAAAGAAAAATTGGTTCATACTCTTGACAACAAAGAGTTACCATCCTCCCATAGGGAATATACAGAAGTATACTGATATGTGTCAAAATGAATGCCCATATTTATTTACTGTTGTATGATCTTGTTAAGTTTTCTATCATTACTAAAACGGAAAATATCAAATGTGATAACTGCATGTAGAAATAAAAACTAATCTACCTTCTACATCTTCTACCCCGACATCATCACTGTTGAAACAGGTTTTTCTATTTACTTCAGCCTATTCTGTTGTTGTTTTTAACTGGTTGTCGCTCTCCTTGACAGTAGAGCCAAACCACAGATATCAAGTAGAGGCCAAAACAGGCAAGAAAATCATAATGGTATGCCACAACTAAAAATAGCACTAACAAGGTGGTGTATAACAATGTTTTTGAGATATTGCTGCAGGAAAAAGTATCTTTCCACCACGAAACATTTCTGTTGATGCTTTCCTGTCCACCGGATGCTGACAGAGCTGCGAAGGCAGCTGTCTTCCCGTCGTCAGGATTCTCCTGAAGGCGGCTGAGGGGTTGTTCTTCATCCAGAGATTCACTGATGGACGGCATGGACAGCAGTTTGCTTCTGCTTATAGAAGGCCTTTTGCTCACAGTAAAACCTGCATCTTTGTTACGGTCTTTATGGGCCTGTGCTCCTGTGTGAACAGCCCTGAGACAGTGCATGTACAGCTCCACCTCGTCGTCTGAGTCTGACTCTGATGAAGCGTTGTCGTGACTCGTTTGGTCGATTTCAGGGTCATCTGTTAAAATGCACATGGCTGCTTCTGCAGTGAAGCATTCCTCCTCAGCTTTTGATCGGTCATGTGTGACACTCTTGTTGTTTTGAAAACCGTCCTCCTTGCAAAGACAGGTTTCAGTGGGGATGTGTGCATTTTGCCCTTCTCCTGTATTTTCTTTGTCGATTACTCTCTCACTGACACCCTCCTGTGCATTGTTCACCAGAGCAGATAAATCCTCGTCAGCCTCGTTATGTGTAACGTCAGACCTTTCCTCTGACCACAACACTTCATCTTCTCTGTCTTTTATGACCATGCTTGACTCTGCATCTTCAATCTCCGCCTCTCCTGCTTGATCAACTAGAATTTCCTCCTGGGAATCTGGGCCCTCTTCCTCCTCTCTGTTTTCCTCCTTTGTTTTCACCTCACCCTCCCACTCCACACCGGCTTCACCTTCAATGATCAAGTGTGTTGGAATTTTTTCCTTCCCCTCTATCTCTTTTTCCTCTTGCACATTTGCACTTTCGATATTGACCTCAGGCATCTCTGCAAAATGTTTCTCTTTCTTTGGTCCCTCTGTTCTTTCCACGTCAGCTAGTTTTTCCTCTCTAAATGTCTTTTCCATCTCTGTGACTCGAACATATTCTAAGTCAGTCACAGTCTCTCCAATGTCTTCTTCTTTAATCCACTCTTTGTCCTCTAACCCCACAGTATTGTCAGCATTGTTGTCTTTCACTCCAGCAACTATCATCTCCTCCAACAATTCCTCTTTTTTCTCCTCTGTAGTGTCTCTCTCGTTTACTTCAGCGCTCTCTGTTTTTGAATGAATTCCTTCATACTCCTCGTCATTTGTTAAAATGCTATTTTCCTCCTCTTCGACCATCATTTCCCAGTTTTTCGCCTCGGTAACGTCTGCCAGACAGAAGCCTTCATCTTGTTTTGACATAGCAGCTCTTGCTTCACAATGCTCTATGTTGTCCAAAGAGCCTTCATCTTTGAGCCCCACAAACATGTCACCATCTCTATGATGCTCACTTATCATTACTTTTGTCATGGATTCAGCTACCTCACCAGTTACCTTAATGTCACTGGGCTGTTTTGTTTCGTCTTTATGTGAGCTGTACTTCACTTTCTTAGCTTTCTCCATGTCAGTAGCTTCCTCCTGAGTTTCCAGAGATGTCTCCAGTGGTGTGAAGTCAGTTTCCTCCAGTTCACAACAAGGAAAAACAACATGATCCTCAGGTTCTTCTGTAACCAAATTGTCAGTGTGGTTTGAATTCAAATCATGTAACACTTCAAATAGTTTGTCCTCTTTTAGAGATGTGCCAGTTTTTAGTATAGTCACAGTTTTGCTTTTGGTGTGGTCTCTCTTTGACTCCACATACTCTTCTTCTCCTCTATTGCTGGTCTGTTGGTCTGTCTCTTCAACAACGTGTTCACTCTGAGACGGTTGAAGTGATATAAACGATGACTGCAGGCTGATCCTGGCTTCTTGTGTTTCACTTTGTGCAAGTGTTTCATCAAGATTAGTTTCAATTTGTGTGCATGTGGGTTCTGACGGTTGACACTGTAGCGTCTCTGCTGTGGTTTGGCTTTGGAGGTCAGGGGTTCGTTTGTCTTCCTGTTCTTCTCCCTGGAGATCTAAACCCTCAGTGTGTATTTGCGGATTCAACAAATCTTTATTTAACATGTTTACAGTCTCAGGATGTCCTAATGTGTCTCCTAAAACAGGTGCTGGATCTGGTGATGTATCTGTGCTTCTCTGGTCTGAATTTTCAATCCCAGCTGGATCCTGTGTAGTTTCTGCACAGTCCAGGACGTCATTTACTGTCAAACTTGTCTCTTGCTCTTCAGTAGGAGGACAAATTAGTGTGGCATTTACGCATTCATGGTTTGAGTCCTGATTGTTAGTCACATTTATTTGAACTTTGTAACCATTACTTGTAGCATCTGTTAAGTCGATACAGCTAATCTGTCTTATTTTAGTGTCAGCATTTAGGCTTGCAGTATTCAGAGAAGCCCGTGTAGGATTTCCCCAGTCACCTATGCTCTGACTTTCACTTCCCGCTCTGCCAAACACCTGGCGATACAGCGGAGCCACCACAGTTCCAAATGTGAAGCTGTTCGTCTGGTTAACAAGGCTTTCACTGTTCACTGCTGCCGTGTCGTTAGTAGATTCATAGCTCACGTTTTCATTCGGACTGCTTTCCTCAGCTTTCATGTCAAAGTCATTGATATTTTGCTGTTCTGCAGGACCAGGCTCATCAGTTGAAGGCAATGGGTCGACTGGGATATCTGTGACACTCTCACCTACTTTTAATGCTGCTGAGTCATCCAAAGGGATGCTCTCAGATTTCTCTGACTCAGTGTTAGACATGCTGTCATGTGCTGGTGACGTATCATGTAGAACGTTGAGGTGGGGTTCGTTGCACGTTTCCAGAGATTCAGAAACAAACTGAGAACCTTCAGAATTGCTGTTCCCATCAGAAAAGGACTTCACATCTGTGTGTTTTTCCTCTGGGGTTTCTTTTTGAGCTGCCTGTTTTATTTCTGGAGGTGACTCGTCTCTTTCAGTGTCACTCGCTCCTCCATCTCTTTGAGCAAAGAAGTCCTTGACTCGAGCCATCCGCGCAGCTTTCCTGCGACTTCTTCGACTGATGTTCTGTCTGTTCTCGATCTGAGAAGAGGGACAGATTAATTTCCACTTACACAATATTATACCTTTTTAAGAAAAGAGTGTGGAGTGGCATTTAGAGTTGCATGTCACGCAGCAACATGCTCGGATTAAATAATGTCTTCGACTGCATTTTTGTTTCATATGAGAGGATACATGATTGAAATACTACAGCAACGTTAGCATGCGGGACAAAATATGAGACACAGAGGAAGCACAAACAGCAAGCACTACATGACCTTTACATGTGCAGTACATTCTGTTACGCTAGTAGTGCTCAAACTCCAGTCATGTTTCAGTCCCTCAGAAAGCGCTCCAGAGATCGTGTTAAGTTTTCTGGTCCTCTTGTACCTCATAGACATTCCATGGTATCTTTAAGCTCCCTTTCAAAGCTAATAATACATCAAACCTGTCTAGTCGAGGTTAGGAATAAGCAGTATTTATAAACAATCCAACACTATTTGCAGTGTTGGATGATAAGAAATTAGGATAATTAGATTGTCAGTCACAAAACATATTATACTAACCTGTTATTTTTTGATACTAATGAGGTGCAAACTTTTTTTGTTCTTAACTGGTTTGTGGGATTTTTTCTACTCACCAGTAATTTCTGTCTATGTTCCTCTGATGTCCCTGATTGACCATCAAAGGTTTTGTCGGCTTTCATCGAGTCCACCTCTCTTCCATTGTTGGACACATCTGGAGAAAGGAGACATTTAACATGTGTATTGTAACTGCACTAATGCAGCCAATTTGGAATTACATTTAACAAAATGTCTAAAGTTCTCAATCAGTGAAATGAATATTCACCTGCTGAAATATTTTCCTGTGATGAAGCTTCCTTTGCTGAAATGTTTTCCACAGTGGAGAAGTTCTGACTGTGAATTAATAAAATTGTGATCAGTCAAACTCAATCTGAGTGTCTCACATACAGTCCTCACCTAAATACATTTGAGTGGCTTGGTTATCCTTTGCTCTCCTTTGCAGGACGAGTAAAGTTTGACGCCACTTGACAATATGAGGGCTATCAACGCAACACAATACCTACAAAGACATGTATGATTTTAGTCAGGCTACTATATTAGTTGTGTGAATAGATAATATTCTTTGAATGAAAGGGCAAAAACTGGCCAGTCCACTCTTCCACCAATAGGCATAACAGATAATGCTGTTGATTATGTACAATTCTCATAATTAAATACAGTGAATTGTGTCTTAACACATGATCGGTATTGATCTTTTCAAATCCCTCTGAGTGACCCACTTTATATCCTCACCTGACTGTCTTAAGGCAGCTTTTCTTTTTCACATTCTCCTTCTGTGGTTTCACTTTCTCCTTTTTCATTTTATGATGACAAAAGAGCACATAGTTCCTGTTGTCATTGTTGGCCCAGAATGTCCCCAGAGGAGTCTCATAACGCAGACAAAAGTCAACTCTGGCTCCCTGCTCTCCAAATGGAGGAACTAAGGTGAGCTTAAAGGAGAAACAGTCCATCAGGCCATCACTGGACCCAGGAATGTACTCGGCCAGGAGGTCAAAGTGGCTCGACCAGGTGTCCAAGGTAGTTCGGACGTATACCGCCTTATTGAAGGAAATATTGAGGACACGGACAATTCCTTTTAGTATTGTGGTCCCTGGAAGTAACTCGACTGTTTCCAACTCTACTTTCTGCTCCCGAACTTTGGCATACAGCTCCTGAGTTGATCGCGGAAGAGAAAAAGTAAAAGTTGAGAGGAAAAATTCCTCTGCATCTGTACCTTCACCCTCAGAGGACTCACATCCTGGCAATTTGGGTACATCCCATGTGCCAAACTCCTTCACTTGCACCAAACTGAGGCCTTTGGCGTCTGCAAAGGACACTCTCCTGGAGCCACACAGGGGAGGTTCAAACTCCGAGTCCTCATCAGTGGCAGAGCCCTTTCGCCGCGGTAGAGGAGAAGATTTAGGCCTGATGCCGATGACCACGTCGCCTTCATCATCGTCCACATCCAAGGAGCTGAGGCCCGGGACTCCTAAGAGGTTAAGAGCCCCAGAAGAACTCGGTTGTCCCACAAACTCCATGAAGCTCTTTGTGAGAGTCAGCGGGAAACGAAGTGCTGCGCTTCTGCTTCTGGCAACTGACATTCAACATGCTCTGACTTAACAGATGGAGTCGAGTTACAGATGACATTGTTGCAAGGGCCAACACTATAAATAGGCCAGAAGGGACTTAAACTATGTACAGTAGTCTAAGCTCAGGAGGAGAATATATCAACCGCTTGCCTCTTTGACGCAAAGTTCCCACGTTGTGTGATCAAAAGTATAGCTGAGTAACTATCTAATTTTTATACTGCAGAACTTCAGTTCCTAAATGTTTTCTGAGCATCTTTGTTGTGTAACTGCACTCCCAATTGCTCCCAAGAGAGTTGTAATGCTATTTGTACAAAAAGCACGAGATTTACAGAGCGGCTATTTGGGTTTTGCTCCACAGTGGGTCACATGAGATCTAAAACAGAACAAATGGCCTTTGCATACTATTTAGATCTCCAAAATAATTTCCTTTGACCAACCAGTGACTCTCTAATGATGCAACTACTGTGAAAGCCTAACACACGAGACTATTTTATCTGCTTATCACATACCAGGATTTATCTGCAGATACCAGAATTATAGAGTTTACAGTTATGCATTGTGTACTATTTCCTGTATTTGTCTCTCAGCTGTGACAAAGTGACATATCCAGCCAGTGGTTAGTCTTTTATCTCAGTGAGTAAATAAGAGACATACTTTAACACTTAGTAAGAATTCTGTATCTTAACTGAAGAATTGTGAGCACTCCCCCAGTTTGGATGAGAATGATATAAAAGCATGTAAAGGCTGTCAGAGGTCATAATAGTTTTGTTCGGACTGTCAGAGAATGTAGGATCTAATTTAGACAAGATACTTTCATTGCTGTGCACGGACTAGGAAGTTACAGAAAACAAAACAAAACAATGAATACCGAGAAAGGAGGACAACATCCAACGGACACTTCACACATAAAAGAAGAAAAAGAAGGACGTAACCCGACAGTTGTGTTTGCCCAAGACACAACCGCAACAATGGTGGATGCTGCCAGAACCCATGAGAGCATCAACCCAGACAGTCTCTCAGACGACATTATGAACTCCAAGGAAGCGCAGACCTTCTCAAAGCCCTCCCTCCCGTACATTGCCCTGATTGCCAAAGTCATCCTGTCCTCCCCCTGCCAGAAACTCAACCTTGGTTCCATCTACAGAGCAATGGAGGAGCAGTTTCCTTACCTCAGGAGCCGGGGTCCGGGTTGGAGGAACAGTGTTCGGCACAACTTGTCCGTGAATGACTGCTTTGTGAAGGTGAGCCGCTGTGAGGACGGTCGGGGCCATTACTGGGGCGTCCACCGAGCTCACCTGACAGACTTCCAGCATGGAAACTTTCGACATTACAGGAACACCAGAGGGAGGAGGGAGAGGGAGCGGGAGCGGGAGGAAAGCGTGGCAAGGTGTCTGACTTGGATGGAGACCAGATGCTTCCTAAAACGGTTCTGTGAGAGTAAATCTGAATCTTTGGCTTGGGTGGTGCCACAATGCCCTCTGCAGGAACCACAGAGGAATCAGTTGAGTTCTTTGGACTGGACCCAACCGTGCTATCAGCCTTGGAGCATCAGTGTGGCGGGACTGCAATCCCCCAGCTGGATGAGACGTTGCTATTTTCCAGAGAGGGTACCAGACTCGTATGGCGAGGCTACAGCTGGGAGAGGGCACGACAGTCAACCTCTGACCTCTGCACTGCACTGCTGGGAGATTAATGACGTGAAAGGCATGACAGAGTCATATGACAGCAGGTTTACGACACCACCAGTGCAACTGCTCGGGTTTCCTCACTGCTGGTGCATGCCTCCAGTCATCAAAGGGTTAATAAATCCAATGCCGTACAGAGTCAGCTTTAAATTCCACCCTTGAACCGCATGAAAGCTGTATAATAGAGCAGAGTAAGGTGAAGTTGACTTGGAGAGGTTTTCTTTATCTACAAATAAACACAACAAATGTATATTACTTCTTTACTCCCATACAGAGTGGAGGGCAGGTAAATACTAATCCAGTAGGTGGCAGAAAGTTACCTTAGTAACAATATCTACACTTCAGTCATTAATCTGGTCTCAGGTCTTTCCTTGTTTGGGGCATTTGTAGGATGAAACAGAGGAAATCTATTTGGCCTCACTCACTGCTGCACTAGTTTACATTTATGTAAAGAGCTTCATCATTAAGCTGTATGACTGCATCTTTGTTGTGTGTATTGTTTATTGCATTTTGTTATTCTGCCATGACAGGATACAAATCATTAAATCATGTGTGAGAAAAACTATTTAAAAAATGTATTTAGGGTTTTCTTCCTTACCTTGGCTTCACTCTTATATCAGCAAAGGACAAATAACTCCTGATGGCAGTCTGGCCTTTGGTCCTCTCCCTCTTGTTTTGTCATGTACTTACACTCGACAAGAAATCAGGACATGTGCGTGATAAAAGTGGCATTCTGCAAAGAAGAAAGGATGCAAATTATGAAACAGATTTAAAACATTGATTTAGAAAAAAAAAAAGTCTTTATAAACAAGAGATGATTATGCAGAAATGTCTCACACAAAGACAGAAACGATTACGTCTTAAACAGATCTGGAGTTATTTAGGGGTTGTTTGTCAATGCGGATGGTTGATTCTACACTCTAGGGTGCACTGCATTTATCAGCAGACTAAATTAAAACACTTTTATTGGTTTTTAATAGAAGTACTGATATGCTGTTCAAATAAAAGTGCAGATACAACTGTAAATAGCTCTTTGATAACAGTTTGACAGCTGTGTAGCTGCAGAGCTCTTTTTTGTTGTTCAAAACTCTCTCGTACTGCATATCTAAATAAAGTCACAGACAACTATACTTGTCTTCTCGAAAAGAAAAGGACTCTTTGTTTTTTCATTTAAGACAATAAATGATGCTTGTTTTGAGGCATTTTGTTTTTATATATATATATTTTGTGTGTGTGTGCGTGTGTGTGTGTGTGTGTTATTGGGTTGTATGTCTATGAATATCAACAAAGGAAAACAATGCCCACATGAATTCCTCCTGCAGAACTGGCAGCTAAAAAGCACAAAGTCATGGTCTGTCTACTATGTACAGCATGAGTGACAATATACTGTACATTTTCATATTACTGCAATGTAAACAGAATGGTAAATGATGTAGAGGACCGTCTTAACAACGCAGCAAAAACATCAGCGCATCACACACTAACATGGAGACACTAACTGGGTGAGCACTGTTTTCACTTTTGAACCATTTTGAGTCAAAACTGAAATGTATCCGTGGCTCCAGTTGATTTGATCACTCTGCTGTTCACATCTCTGTACTCTGCTGCTATTCTCACTGTTATATTTACTGACTGACTGGAACTCCTCCCCCTCAGGTAGACACACAACTCCATCAGTTATCTCCCATCCTCAGTCCAAACTGCTTGACTTGGAGACACCAACTCTGCCTGGCTGCTCCCAATTCAACTGTTCATCTCAACGGTATGTACGTTTAATGCATTTCGGACACAAACAGACGTGCCATAGAGTTTTATTTTTTTTAAATTATGATGTTATGTCATGTTATGCTCTTATTTCTTCTGGAAGTAACAGGCGGATGGTTTTAGCTCTCAAGTGAGGGAACCGTTTCACTTATTTTCTACTTCGTGCTAAGATAAGTCGATGTGCGTGATAAAAAAGTTAGTTTTGAAAAATTCCATGCAAACTGTCTTCATGTCTGTGCATGTGATGAGCCACAGATAAACGTACAGCCAGTTCTGTGTCAAAAAACTATCATCTAAGTTGTGATAATTAGAAATGATAAAAGTTAGTGGAATATGAATTTACAGCTGTCGTATTTACAGCTGTTGTTTACGCATTCATTTTATAACCTACTGTACATCAGGTGTTATTTATGTGTGGTGGTGTAACGTGAGCATTCTGAAATAGCTGGGTATTTAAAAAAATTTCAACTCACATGCAAATTAATTCTTACATGAGTATCACAAATGTATTAACTTTTTTTGGTACATCTTGTCAATTTAAAGCCTTACTTGAAGGCTTTTTATTTTCAGTTGTGCAAAATAACGTTTTTTTGAAGGCATCAAATGTCACATTTTGGTATTTTTAAAATTACAACACAAGTTTTTAACAATGACAATAAACATAGCTTTTCTTTCTTGCCATGTATATAATGTAAAGTCACCCAAAGTTGTAATTTCACTGTGATGTTGTTGTCTGTATCTGGAGTATGTGAGTCTTACAGTTTACTTGGTGTTGACTGTTTCCTTTTAGGACCTGAGCTGAGATGCCTGAGTCTCCTCTCAGTCCCACGGCAGCCCGTCAAACCCCAGCCAGCAGCCTGCTCAGTCACACAGACAACGGCGCGGGAGAGAGAGTGGCTAATGGGGACTCCTGCAGTGGAGTGAGCGCTGAAAACTGGCAGAGTCTCTGCCACAAGCAGGTACATTCATCCTGCGACTCCTTATCTTCCCCCTCATCCACCTCTTCTTCGTCCGTCAACTCTTCCTCCTCCATCTCTATAAGCGGGGAAACAGAACAATCTTAGGCAAACAGATGTCAAGAGAAATACCCCACAGCTCCATATTGGATATCCTCTGACAGGACACTAAACCCCGAGCCTGCAGCTCTGTTGACAGTGGCTGGGATTTCATATGAGATCTGAACCGAGTTGGGAATTGACACGCAGAACTCTTGTTTGTCCTTCATTATTAGTTTGTGAGTCAGAGCCAGGGAGGAATAATTGTGCACAACCTAGGTCAAACAGATGCAAGTGAACGGCAAATAGGCATGGCCCAACATAATTTTATGGTTGTCGCTTGCAATTCCATCCCTGGTAATCTTAATCTAAGGGATCAATGAAACCACCAAGATAACGAACAGCAGCATCACTTCCCTCAGTCTGTTCTCTCATCTTGTCGCTTCTGTTTGATTCTTTTCTCCTAATTCACTTTCTAAATGTGCAAATGTAGTGGACTTCAGCTTCCTTTTTTGTTATTTTCGGTTAACATAATACCTATATCAAATGACAATGTCATAGTACTGCAGCTGCAACGCTGCCTGTCTGCCAGAGCCTGATTCCAGAATATAATAACAACTTGTGATAGGAATATTTTACAACCTGCAAACTTCGACTATTTTAGGTGAAGACAGGTTTTCTCTAAAAATGAAAGAGAAGGGCTTCCATCTGTGATATATTTCTTATCTAACAGTAGCATCCAGTCCACACACCTCAAATAACTACCCAGTCATTTGTAAAGACGGATAATAGAGACATCAGTGGTTTCTTTAAAAATACATTTATAAAAACATTAAGACAAAACACAAAGTTGAAGTAGGGACTAGGGATACAACTAATAATATATATTATTTTACAATCCCTTTAACAGTTTTTTTTAAAAATCTGTATTGATGTGATAATTATTGTTTACCCCCAAAATGGTCAAAATGATTGTTTTGCTTGAATAAAATCTAATTTCAGAGGAGGTGTCGAAGGACATTTGGGAAGTTAGGATACTTTGTACATTTTTACACACTAAGGTGAGTTTTGTAAAACATTCTGGGTTTATTAGCATGAGAGTAGCCATGAGCTTAGGACATTTTTTTTTATTATTATTAATTACAAAGTTGAGGTTCTTGTTGTGTTCTTTTTTTCATTACATCCTGAAAGCTGCTGCAAAATCCTTCCAATACCACACAAGACTTCATGAACCCTGTAAAAAAAAAAAAAAAGGCCTTTGCACGTGCTTATATGTAATACTTAATGTTTGATATGTATAAAAAGGAAATAATACATTGAATTTACTCCAACAATCACTTGGTGGCACTTGTATTAGTTTGTATTGTTTGTAATACAACATGATGAATGTGTAAGTGGCTTTTGTTGTTTCCTAATGCAGTCATGGCAAATTGCCGGCTGCCGTCTCTGTTTAACTACAAAGGGAGGCGATCACTCTTATTTGTCGCTCTATCAGTAACAGTGCAGAGCCGTTATTATTCTGTGAGTGTTTGCCTTTATTAATATCCATACACTTCTATTAGGAGCCACAACAAGCATGAAATTGTGTTGCTAATTAACCGGTCAGCCTATCTCCCATCTCATTTAGGGTCAATGACACAATCCGGCATGATGATGTTCACAAAAGGTTGACAACGCTGTTGTGTAATTGGAAAGATTCCCATTCGACGGTTATTACTGTTTATCACCTGACACTTAGCTTGTGTCTCACTCATCCTGTTGACTTCACCCTGTGGTCCTTTATAACTGTGTCCCTCTGCTTCTTCCTCTGCCAGGTCTTTCTAGCCATGATGGCTCCTCAGCAGATGCAGCAGCTTCTGTCTCCAAACCAGCTGCAGGCTCTGATCCACCAGAAGCAGCAAGCCCTTCTGCTCCAGCAGGTATTTATGCATCTCTAAAAACCAAAGTACTGCTATGGTTAATATACTAAGTGTTTCTTGAATACAAATCAGGTACTACTTACTGTAGGTAGCCAGCTGACCCTTCAGGTACTGGCTAACTTGTCAGCTAGCTAATTAAACAACTAGTCTGCTGAAGTAAACTAATCATTCAGGTAGCTAAGCTATGCGTCCTAGCTTACACACACGGACAAAACTGTTAGCAAGTCTGCTCCAGCATAAACTTTTAACTGGAACAAAACAGCAAATTAATTATAAGGTAAGTTATTTTGGTTAATGCTACTCATAGATATGTATAATAAAGGCCTTCATTATACGTATCTATGATGTTACTGTAATGTTAGCTAGTTAGCATTATTAACATTAGCAGTGCAACTGAGGATACAAACAGCATTAGCTCAATAGCTCAATGCTATTAAAGCAAGCAAATGTGTTTGGTAGGCCAAATTAAAGACTAAAATAATTTATTATATTATTTTTAAAAAATATATGTAACATATTTTGAGGCAAAATTAACTTATTCTACCTAACATTTTAAGTATAATGGCTAGTTTAGTTGACTCATCATAGACTGCAGGTGAAGTAACTAAGGGCTGTAAACTCATACCTGTTGTTTTTTTTTAGTTAGTTTTTTGCTGAACCCTCTGAATGCCAAAACACCATTAATTACAGGCAGAAACTCTAAAAACACAATCATCAGATTTTCTACTTTTCGACTGTCCGTGAGTTAATAATTTGTTTGGTTCCATCCAGAAAATTAACCAAATCTAAGCTCAGAATTCATATAAATAAAGTGATATTTTAACAAAATTAGTTTATTCTATGAGTTGCACTTTAAAATTAGCCTTAATAAAGCATCCTCACTAACCAGATCCTGTAAAAATGTCAACAATAAGTCACTAAGCCATGAGTGACTGTGCTGTGATCAACATTCTGGTCACAGAGCTTCAGTGACTTTCAGCTGAACTGCAGACTGTTTACACAGAGCAGAGAGGAGACAAGTTAGCAAAATATACTCACCCTAAAAAACAAATGGTTCAAATACGGCATACAATTGAGCAAGTCGTCGGCAAGTTGTTGGAAGAAACATTCAGCGTGGTGAAATAGCTTTAGAAAGCTGATGTGCAGATCAGGGCACGACATGACTAGTCTGTAGAAGTGGTAAAAATGTACATAGTGTAATAATAAT